ATGGGGGTGACACCAGGATGACACTGGGGTGACACCAGGGTGGCCCCGGGGCAGTGCTGGTGGCCAGGGTTTGGCTCCCACTTTTCTCCATCCCGGTTTCCTGTGGCTGTGCCCGGTGTGGAAGCTCAGGGTGACACCAAGGTGACACCAGGGTGACATCGGGGTGGCCAAGGGTGACACCGGGGTGACCCAAAGTGACACCAGGGCGGTGCTGGTGGCCGGGGTTTGGCTCCCACCTTTCTCCACCCTGGTGTCCCATGAATGTCAGAATTTCCCCAGCATTTCCCCGGCATTTCCCTGGCATTTCCTCAGCATTTCCTCAGCATTTCCTCAGCATTTCCTCAGCATTTCCTCGACATTTCCTCAGCATTTCCTCAGCATTTCCCCAGCGTTTCCCCAGCATTTCCTCAACATTTCCTCAGCATTTCCTCGGAATTTCCCCGGCATTTCCTCGGTATTCCTCTGGCATTTCCCTGGCATTCCCCGGCATTTCCCCGGCATTTCCCCGGCATTTCTCTGGCATTTCCCCGGCATTTCTCCAGCATTTCTTTGGCATTTCCTCGGCATTTCCTCGGTGGGGCCTCCAGCACGGCAGGAATGCGGAGCGGGACCCCCTCGAGAGGGGACAGGGACGGGGACAGGGACAGGGATGGGGACAGGGACAGGGACAGGGATGGGGACAGGGATGGGGACAGGGACAGGGACAGGGACAGGAACAGCAGGACGGGGACAGGGACAGGGACAGCCCCGGGGGACGCTGCCACCCCCCATCCCCAGCCCCGAGCTGAGCTCCTCCAGTGCCGCTCATTTTTTCCGAATTCCTCCCAAATTTTGGCTGCCGGGGGTTTGGGGGAGGGGAGGGCAGGGGAGGGGATTTGTCCCCACGACAAGGGTGGCTTCTTGTCCCACGTGTCCCCGACGCTGCCAGGGGACAACAGGGGGACAACAGGGGACCCGCCAGGTCTGGGTGTCCCCCAGAATGAGAGGTGAGGTTGGGAGGGGGCTCTTGGTTTAATTCCAGCTGGGAATTGTCCTTGGAGCAATTTAAAATTTTTTTTCTAATTTTTAATTTTTTTTTAAATTTTATTTTAAAATTTTTTATTTTTATTTTTATTTTATCTTTTTATTTTAATTTTAATTTTTTTTTTCTAATATAGTAACTTTAAATTTTTAATGTATTTTGTATTGTTTAATTACTTTTGAAGTTTTTCCGTTTTTAATTTCTAAATCGATTTTGTATTTTAAAACATTATTTACTTTTCAATATTTTTTTCCCCAATTTTTAATTTTTAAAAATCTTAATTTTTTTTCCTTATTTTATATTTTTACCCCCTTTTTGCCACAGGCCCTGAGAGGTGCTGTGCGTGTCTCTGGGGGGGGAATATTTATATTTTTTTGGCCTCCACGGGGCTGTTTTGGTCCTTAGCAGGGTGGGGACAAATGTGGGGACACGGAGGGGACCTGGGGTGTCCCCGCTGGTGGCAGAGGGTGACAAACATCGCGCGGTGCCCTGCGGGAAAGGAAGGAAGGAAGAGGCCGGGAGGAGGGAGAGGAGGAAGCGGGGAGGGTGGGAGGCTGCCCGGGGTGATGGAGGAAGAAGGGGCGGATTGGAAAAAAGAATTAAAAAAAAAAAAATTAAGAACAAAGGAAAAAGAAGGGGAAAAAAAATGAAGGGAAAAAATGAAGGGGAAAAAATTGAAGGGAAAAAAATGTGAGGGGAAAATGAAAGGGGGAAAAAATAAAAGGGGAAGAATAAAAAGGGGAAAAATAAAAGGGGAAAAATAAAAGGGGAAAATGAAAGGGGGAAAAATGAAAGGGGGGAAAAATGATGGGGAAAAATGAAACGGGAAAAGTGAAAGGGGAAAAATGTCAGGGAAACAAATGAAGGGGGAAATAAAATGCAAGGGAAAAATGAAAAGGGAAAAATGAAAGGTGGAAAAAATAAAAGGGGAAAAATGAAAGGGGAAAAATGAAAAGGGAAAAGTGAAAGGGGGAAAAATGCAAGGGAAAAAAATGAATGGGAAAAAAATGCAAGGAAAAAAAATGAAGGGGAAAAAATGCAAGGGGAAAAATGAAAAGGGAAAAAATGAAAGGTGAAAAAATAAAAGGTGAAAAAATAAAAGGGGAAAAAATAAAAGGAGGGAAAATGCAAGGGGGAAAAAATAGAAGGAAAAAAAAAAATAAGAAAAGAAGGGAAAGTGCTGTCAAAGTGACACCGGGGGGGGGGCTGGGGGCGGTGGGCTGGGCACTGATCGCTGCCGGCAGCTGTGGCTGCCCACCCTCCCTCCCTCCCTCCCTCCGTCCATCCCTCCATCCCTCCCTCCTTATTTCCAACCCTCCCTCCCTCTTTCCCTCTTTCCCTCCCTCTTTCCCTCCCTCCCTCCCCCGGGGTGGGCGCTCCGTGGCTCGGGGGTCGCTGGAACGAGCGCCCGGCAGCTCCGAGCTCCCGGCAGAAGGACCCCCCAATGGGGGTCCCGACCCCGAGCTGAGACCCCCGGAGCACCGGCGGGATGGTGGAGGAGGAGGAGGAGGAGGAGCAGGAGGAGGAGGAAGAGGAGAAGGCGGTCAGGGGGTCTCGGGGTCCCTGCCGACCCCCGGCAGCCCCCAGCCCCAAAAGGCTGTGGAGCGTGGAGGGCTGCGGGAGCGGCTGGCGGCTGGAGAGGCCGGTGGGGGTGGACTGCAGCTCCCCCGAGCCCCGCTGCATTTGGCTGAGCAGCCTCCGCCGCCTCGCCGCCGCCCGCGACCCCCGAGCGACCCCCGAGCCCCGGGCGACCCCCGAGCCCCGAGCGACCCCCGAGCCCCGGCCCGGCCGCGGGCTGAGGAGGGAGCGGCGCCGCCGGGTGAGAGCAGCGAGCCGGGAGGGGTGCGGGGAGGGGTGCGGGGAGGATTTGGGAGGGTGGAAGGGGGTCTCGGCAGAAGGGGTGGGGTGTTTGTCACAGCGCCCCGGTGGTGGCGTGTCCCCCCTTTGTCGCCTCCCGGTCCTGCTCCTGCGGCGCCGACAAATCCCGGGGACAAATCCCGGGGACAAATCCCGGGGACAAATCCCGAGCCCCGGGACGAAGGGACAGCAGGGCCAGCAGGGCCAGCGCTCCTTTGTTCGGCAGGAGGGGGACACTGGCAGGAGGTGCCTGTCCCCCACTGTGTCCCCAAGGGGGTGGCTCGGTGACGTGGGGGACAAGCGCTCGGTGACACCGGTGCTGGAGTTCGCAGGAGTTGGGGTGACCCATCTGAGGGGCTCTGGATGATCAAAGGGCTGCCCCCATCCCCACAGCGCTCCTGGGACGGGGATTTGGGACTGCTGGGATGAGCCACCAGGGCGAGGTTAAATTCCAGGAATTTGGGAGGAGGGACAGGGCTGTGAGGTGACAAACGGCTGAGGTGACAAACTATCTGGAGGAGCTCAGCCAGCACCGGGTGGCTGCCCAAAGCCACAAGCTTCAAAACCCAAAAAACCCTCCAAAAACCCGTGTGGCGGCGAGGGAAACTGAGGCACAGCCGCCTGGCGGGATGCTCCTCCCCGGGTCACCCCACACCTGGGGCGTGACACGTCCTGCCTTCACGGCAGTGACACGGGGACACGTCCCCGTCCCCTCGGGGCGGTGCTGCCATGTCTGCAGCCATCCGAGCCCTCTCTGCGGGGCCTGTCCGTGCCGGTTAAAATCAGCGGGGCACATTCAGCTGTCAGCTTAAAAATAATCCGGCCAGCCGGCGGCCGACACAAAGGAGGGCACAGATGGGGCCGGGGCCGCCGGGGATGCTCCCGAGCCCCGGGGCTGAGGGATGGGGGTCCCCCGGCAGTGGCGGGGGGCTCCCGTTGCCATCTGGGTTGGGCTTATCTTGGGGTTTTGGAGGGGTTGTGGTGTTGGCAGCGGGGGTTTTGTGGCTTTCCCGTGGTGGTTTTTGGGGTTCTGTGTGGTTTTGGGGTGGGGCAGCTGATTTTTGGTGGGGGGCAGCGCAGGGACCACGTTCTCAGGGGGGAAAGACCCCCGTGGGCACCTCGGGCTCCGTGTAGGACGTGCTGGACAGGGGGCACGGCCCGGCCCTGCCGAAAAGGCCCACTCAGCACAGGCACACACAAAGGCTTTTTGTGCCTTGTCCCTTTGTGTCCCTTGTCCCTGTCCCCTCCCATCCACCGCTTCCACCCAGACAGCCCCTGAATTTTAACACCCTCATCCCCCACGGGCTGGAAGGAGCCAAAACTCGGGCAGGGTCCCTGTGGATCCCTGCCTGGCTCCCTGCCTGTCCCTCCCGCTCCCACATTCCCGATTTTCCCGGTTTATGGCACCGCTGGGTGATGCCAGGACATGTCAGGCAGTGCCCTCTGCTCCCCTCGGCCCTGGAGCTGCTCCCACCCCGGCCAGATGTGCTGCCAGATGTGAGCTGAGCCCTCCCAAACTCATCCCACCCTGAGCTCCAAGCTCCTGGAATTCGGGAGCCAGGAGTTCATCCCAGGTGTTGGCACTGCGGCTGTTTCTCCCAGCGCCCCGGTGCCAGGGGAGGTGCCCGTGGCTGCTCCGGCTGTGCCACAGCCCCGTTCCCTCTCCTGGCACCGGCACTGGGAGCTGTGGGATGGAGCCACATCCCCTTGGCCCCGTCTGCTGCTCTGGGCAGTGTCCCCTGCCAGATCCTGCCCCGTTTTGGGAAGCCTCGCTGGTCCCACCACCTCCCTTTCCGGCTTTGCCCGAGGTTCTTGCTGTGCCATCGGGGACCTTTTGTCCCCAAGTGCCACATCCCGTCCCCTCATCTCCCCTCCTGGGTCCCATCCAGACCCTGGGGCACAGCTCATTTATTTTGATTTCCTTTCCATTCATCTCCTTCCCAAAGGCCCCACAGGGCTGGAATTTTATTTTTTTGGGGGGGCTGGGATTAAGGATGGGGGGGGAGGGGGTTTAGGAATGGGGCAGCTTTTTGGGCAGAGCTCAGCCCCCATCACGGGGTTCAGCATGGCCACATGGGGTGACTCCTTCCCCAGAAGTGACAGCTTGTCCTTGTCCCCGCAGCCCACGCCGGGACGGAGAGATGGGGCGTCCCCAAACGCCAACGCACCCCCGGAGGGGGGATCCTTCCCCTGGGGGGGCCCCAAGACGGTGGCGCTGCGGAAAAGCCCCCAGGGCGGCTTCGGCTTCACCCTCCGCCACTTCATCGTGTACCCCCCGGAGTCGGCCGTGCACTCGGCCAAGGTAGGAGCCGCGGGAATTTCGGGAATGCTGCCGGGATGCAGAAGGTGGGGGGATGAGCAGTGCCACGTCCATCCCCTGCTTGGTTGGTGTCCTAGTTTAGGGCAAATTTGGGAGAAAAACGTCTGGAAGGAGCCCCCAGAAAATAAACCCCTCCCCACCCACCTGGTTCGGGAAAAAATTTCTCGGAAAAGAACCTGTTTATTTAACAAACAAAGCACTGCCCAGCACCAAAAAATAAATGAACAACACCAGATGACAACAAAACTCTTTCACCCCTCTGAAGAGATGAACAAATCCAGAAATCTCCTGAGAGTGGGCGCTGGGGATTGCTCTGTGTCGGAATCTGAGGTATTGATGATTCCCAGATTGTAGAAAGTCTCTGTCTGTCAGCCCCGCTGCCAAAGCAGAAGCCATAATTGGTCTGTGCGGTTCCAAGGTTGTTTATTCTGTTTATCTCTAACATGTTCTGCTGCCCTGCCGCAGCTCTGTCCTGCAGGGCAGCGTGTGGGGCTCTGCCCTCAGTGGGATGGTACAAACATTAAATACCACAAACTACCTGTGCTGGATTTACAATAACGTGCCAATATCTGTCACCTACGTTGGACAGTGTGTCCCCAGCCTAAACCAACAGAAAAATGCCAACACCACAGTGAAACATGGAGGGCATGAAGAAGGAGAAAAAGGACAAGACACACCCAATTTCCTCCATCTTGTCCCCTTTGGACCCCTAATCTAGAATCCTAAAATTTTACTTTTGCACCCGTGCCACAGTTAATTATTGCTGATATCAAACACTGAGAGCTGGTAATTCATCCTGTAAGATTGAAAACTCTTTTCCATGGACAGAGATCACAGCCAGTGTCTCTGGGGGCTCTGTCCAGGGGGGTTCCTGACCCCTGCCAGGGTCCCAGGGCAGCCAGAGGGAAGCCCTGGGTTCCCACAGGAGGTGAGCCGGCTGATAATGAGACAAAACAAACCTTCACTCTCAGAGTCGGGTCTGAAAGCACAGAACATGATATCAAACATAAACAGAACACACGACTGGGGATACCAGCACCACAACGTCACCCCAGGACTGTTGGTGATCCCACCCTGGGATGGAGGAGCCTGCAGAGCTGCTGGAAGATGAGCTCTGGTCAAGCAGCACCTCTGGAGATATCCCAAAACCTTTTGGGATATGGGATTGTTGGTGGGAACGGAGAGGATCCCTCAGCTCCCAACAAGGGATCAGCATCACTGGGAAGGGCAGGAAAAGGTGCCCCGGAGCCCCCAGGGCTGGTGGATTTTTGGTTCCCTCTCTCCTGACTTTTTTCTAACTGGATCTGCCCTGGGATCTGCGTTTTTGTCGCTCCTCTGGGTGACGCCTTTTGGGAGGGCACGACCCTGGCTTGGCACCTCTGAGCCCCGATCTGGGCAGTGCCTTTCCCCTGAAGGATGGAGAGATCCCATGGAGCCGCCCAGCAGCATTTCCCAGCGTGGATTTCCCCTCCACACCCCGAGGCACGAACCAGCTCCAAACTCCTGGAATTCCGGAAGAATTCTGGAATAAATCTGGAATTCGGAACGCCTTTCTCTGTCCATTTTCGACAGGAGGAGAGTCTGAGAGCCACGCATCCCTTTCCCTGCTCCAGGCTGGGCAGATCCCTGGATCATCCCATCAGCCCTGGAGCTGCCCCACGGCTCCGGGCGCTGGCAGACAGGGAAATGAGTCACAGGGTGGGGAGAACCGACTCGCCGGAATCCCCGCTCGCCATCCTCCGGCACCTCCGGCTTTTCCCAGGCTCCTGGTCCTGCCTCTCCAACCCCTTCCTGCCCCGTCCCCGCCAGCGTCGCTCTGCCGGGGAGATTTTGTCATGAGAAACGGCCTGAAGCTCCTCCAAACCCGCTCCCAACTCTCCTCTGACTTCCAAAAAAATTGCTCCTGCCCCGCTGGGCACCGGGGCTGAGCGGGGAACACCCGGGGCCGCGGGGGATGGAGCCGGATCAGCGCTGGGAGCTGGAGATGCTCTTGGGAAGAGGCTGGGAATGGTGTGGGAATCCAGGGCTTCCCTTCCTGGCAGGGGTCAGAACCCCCCTGGACAGAGCCCCCAGAGACACTGGCTGTGATCTCTGCCCATGGAAAAGAGTTTTCAATCTTACAGGATGAATTACCAGCTCTGAGTGTTTGATATAAGTAATAATTAAGTGTGGCACGGGTACAAAAGTAAAATTTTAGGATTCTAGATTAGGGGTCCAAAGGGGACAAGATGGAGGAAATTGGGTGTGTCTTGTCCTTTTTCTCCTTCTTCATGCCCTCCATGTTTCACTGTGGTGTTGGCATTTTTCTGTTGGTTCAGGCTGGGGACACACTGTCCAACGTAGGTGACAGATATTGGCACGTTATTGTAAATCCAGCACAGGTAGTTTGTGGTATTTAATGTTTGTACCATCCCACTGAGGGCAGAGCCCCACACGCTGCCCTGCAGGACAGAGCTGTGGCAGGGCAGCAGAACATGTTAGAGATAAACAGAATAAACAACCTTGAAACAGCACAGACCAATTATGGCTTCTTTGGCAGCGGGGCAGAAAGACAGAGACTTTCTACAGTCTGGGAATCATCAATAGCTCAGATTCCAACAGCTCTGGAGCTGGAAATGCTCTTGGAAAGAGGCTGGGAATGGCTCGGGAGCTGGGATTGTTCCTGGAAAGAGGCTGGGAATTGTTCAGGAGCTGGAGATGATCTTGGGAAGAGGCTGGAAAGAGGCTGGGAAGAGCTCAGGAGCTGGGATTGCTCCTGGAAAGAGGCTGGAAAGAGGCTGGGAATGGCTCAGGAGCTGGGATTGCTCCTGGAAAGAGGCTGGGAATGGCTCAGGAGCTGGGATTGCTCTCGGGAAGAGGCTGGGATTGCTCCCGGCCGCTGTGCCAGCCGGGGCCGGCTCAGCAGCCGCTGCCGCCGCGGGGCCCGGCACGCCGCCAGCTCCGGGGGCCGAGTTTCGGTGCGCTGACTCGGCAGGGAGGGGTGGCGGTGCCACCGGGGTGTCCCCGGGGCTGGGACGGGCTCTGGGGTGCCGCAGGGCGAGGATGGGCAGGGACGGGCCGAGTCCGTGCCCACAGGGCGGCCCCACGGTCCGGCTGCAGCTTTTCCGTGGGCACCTTGTCGCTGCCCGTGTGTCCCTCCTGGCACCCTGGCACCTTGGGGACACCAGGGCTGTGTCCCCACCAGCTGGAGGCTGTGGCCAGCCCCGTGCTCCCAGCCAGGCGTGGAAAAATCTGGTGCTGGTGGAGAGAAAATTCCCTTTCCAGGTGCCCAAATCCTTCCCTGGGGGGACGTGAGACCCACCCCGTGCCCCACCCCACCCTGGTACCCCCAGCGCGGCTCTGCTGGGGCTCCCCATGGCGGGTTTGGGTTAAAAGTGCCGGGATTTGGCACAATTCCTCCACCACAGCACACATCAGTGCCCACCTCAGCCCTGGCACCCCCAGCGTGGCTCTGCTGGGGCTCCCCATGGCGGGTTTGGTTTAAAAGTGCAGGGATTTGGCACAATTCCTCTGTCATGGCACAGATCAGTGCCCACCTCAGCCCTGGCACCCCCAGCCCGGGCACCGGGAGGCTGCGGGGGTGAGGATTTATCCCGGGTGGGGCGGATCCTTCTCCTGGAGCCCCGCGGGTGGGTTTGGGCTCTCCCCAGCCCATTGGGAAGGGTGAGATGCCACCCTGCAGCTGGCATGGCCCCTTCCCACTCCGCTGCCCCAAACCCGGCCCCAAATCCAGCCCCAAACCCGGCCCCAAACCCGGCCCCAAACCGGCAGCCGGGTGCGGGGGGCTGCGGTGGCTCCGGTGCCAGGAGGGAATTTTAACCGTGGGCAGCGGAGGGCAGAGGGACACGCGGGTCCCGTGGGGGCTTCGTGGCACTGCCACCCTCCCGTTGGAGCCCTCCCGGTCCCCTCGTCACGACCCCGCCACCAAATCAGCCAAATCAGCGCTTTTCTCTTCCTTTTTTTCTGTTTTTGGCAGGAGGAGGAGAATGGGAACCGGGCAGGTGAGCAGCGGCATGGGGACGCTGGGGACAGCGGCACAGGGTGGCACGGGGTGGGACAGGGGTGACAGGGTGGGACAGGGTGGCACAGAGTGGGATAGCGTGGGACAGGGTGGGATAGGGTGGGACAGGGGTGTCACAGGGGTGACACAGGGTGGCACAGAGTGGCACATGGTGGCACAGGGGTGGTACAGGGGTGGTACAAGGTGACACGGGGTGGGACAGGGTGACATAGAGTGGCACAGGGTGGCACAGGGGTGGCACGGGGTGGCAGAGGGGTGACACAGGGTGGCCCAGGGGTGGCCCAGGGGTGGCCCAGGGTGGTACAGGATGACACATGGTGACACAGAAGTGGCACAGAGTGGCACAGAGTGGCACGGGGTTGCACAGGAATGGCACAGGGGTGGCATGGGGTGGCACGGGGTGGCACAGGGTGGCACAAAAGTGGCACTGGGGTAACACAGGAATGGCACAGAGTGGCACGGGGTGACACAGAGGTGGCACAGAGTGGCACAGAGTGGCACGAGGTGACACAGGGTGGCACAGAGGGTAGAGGACAGGGGGGTGACACGGCTGTCACGGCGCCGCAGCAGCGCGTGTCACCGCTGTTGTCACCACAGCCCGAAATACCCGCTGGCGCTGGGGGGGCTCTGGTGGCAGCTGGGTGGCACCAGATGGGCTCGGTGTCCCCAAACCGCGCCGGAGCTTTGCGGGGTGTCCCAGCCGGGGTGTTGGGGCTGTTTGGGGACAGGGACGCGGCCCCGCTGTCCCCTCGCGGTGCCTCAGGGTGACATGAGCCGATGTGAAGGTGTCAGAAGGGATCGGCGCTGGCGCGGTGACGCGGCGCCGGGTGGTGCCAGAGCTGGGAAACTCAATTTTATAATTCGGATAAAGCTTTGTGGGGAACAGGAATGTTTATTTATTCCCAGCGCTGAGGACGCACATCGGGATTTTTTGCTTTTTCACGGACACGCGCCCCTCTGAGAACTCCCGATCCTTTTTTATGATCCTGATTAATTTCTATATGCGTGGAATTTCACGATAGGTTAATGCATATTCATTTTTCTGATTTCACGCTATACTTACAGCTAGTTACACTTAATTTTTTGTTAGAAAGTACAGAAAGAACTCTTAGGTCACTTTGCCTTGCCTGTTTTAATTTTTAATGCTAATTAATGTTTTAATTTTTTTTCAATTTTTAATCTTTCAGTGCAGAAATTTGCATTTTTTAAAATATTTTATTTTTTAAGCTGGGGTAGTTTTTTAGGGCTGCAGTCACCAGACTAAACAGCACATTCAGCCACCTCCAAGTGGCACATTTTACTTCAATCTAAATGAATTTTTACTCTGTTAAATTTTCGCTCTGGCTCACCTGGCACCGGGCACCTGGAGGGGTTCGGGGACCCGACCTTACTCCGGGTGGGATTTGGGATCCCCAGTGGGATTTGGGATCAATCTCAAGTGGGATTTGGGATCTCTTGTAGGATTTGGGATCCCCGGTGGGATTTTGAATCCCCAGTGGGATTTGGGATCGATCTCAGGTGGGATTTGGGATCGATCTCCGCTGGGATTTGGGATCAATCCCTGCTGGGATTTGGGATCAATCCCTGCTGGGATTTGGGGCCGGGATTTGGGGCCGGGATTTGGGGCCGGGATTTGGGGCCGGGATTTGGGGCCGCGGTGATCCCGGCCCGGGGCTGTGGCGGTGCCGCCCCTGAGCCGCTGTCCCGGGCAGGTCCCGCACGGAGCCGCCTGGAGCCCACGGACACGATCTTCGTCAAGAGCGTGCGGGACGAGGGCCCGGCGCACCGTGCGGGGCTGCGCGCGGGTAAGCGGCCGGGAACGCTCCTCCTCCTCCTCATCTTCCTCATCCTCATCCTCATCCTCATCCTCATCCTCATCCTCATCCTCATCCTCATCCTCATCCTCATCCTCATCTTCCTCATCCTCATCCTCCTCCTCATCTTCCTCATCCTCATCCTCATCCTCATCCTCATCCTCATCCTCATCCTCATCCTCATCCTCATCCTCATTCTTCCTCATCCTCCTCCTCCTCCTCCTCCTCCTCCTCCTCCTCATCCTCATCCTCATCCTCATCTTCCTTCCTCCTCCTTCCTTCTTGTCCTCATCCTCATCCTTCTTTCTCCTCCTTCCTCCTCCTCCTCCTCCTCCTCCTCCTCCTCCTTCTCCTTCTCCTTCTCCTTCTCCTTCTCCTTCTCCTTCTCCTTCTCCTTCTCCTTCTCCTTCTCCTTCTCCTTCTCCTTCTCCTTCTCCTTCTCCTTCTCCTTCTCCTTCTCCTTCTCCTTCTCCTTCTCCTTCTCCTTCTCCTTCTCCTTCTCCTTCTCCTTCTCCTTCTCCTTCTCCTTCTCCTTCTCCTTCTCCTCCTGATCTGCCAGAGAATTTCTGTCTTCTTCAGCACTTTTTTTATTTCTTTCCCCCCTTCCCCGCCGTTCCTGCTCTGTTCTGCGCCCTCTCTCTGCTTCTGGGGGCGCTCCTGGGGTCCCCGCGGCTTCTCCTGGGTTTGGGGTCCCCCTTCAATCCCCTTGTCACTCGGGGTCTGGCAGGGATCTGTCCTGGGTGACCCTGGGGACATCCAGGTGCCACCAGTCCCTCGTGGTGACCCTGTCCCCTTCCTGGCTCCGCAGGTGACCGGCTGGTCAAGGTGAACGGGGAGAGCATCATCGGGAGAACCTACTCCCAGGTGATCGCCCTGATCCAGAACAGGTGAGGGCCCTTCCCGGGATGGCAGGGGACAGCTCGGGGACAGGTGACAGCTTGGGGACATGCCACAGCCGGCTCTGTCCCTCTGAGGTGTCACCAGGGTGTCACTCTGTCCCTCTGGGGTGTCACCGGGGTGTCACTCTGTCCCTCTGGGGTGATGGCAGCCCTGGGGCGGTGGGGTGAGCAGGGACAGGCAGCACGGCGCTGTCACCATCACGTGGGGACAGGGACGATCCCGCCAGGTGTGAGCTTGGGGACAGGTGGGGACCGACCCTCCTGTCCCCTGTCCTGCAGTGACGATGTGCTGGAGCTCTCCATCATGCCCAAGGACGAGGACATCCTCCAGCTGGTGAGTTTGCTGGACAGGTGCCTTGGGGACACCTGGGGACACTTGGGGACACTTTTGGGGACACCTGGGGACACCTGGGGACACCTAGGGACACTTGGGGACACGGTTTCACCTGCACCTCTGGAGCAGCAGTGGCTGCAGAACCGGGGGCACTGAGGCAGGAACGGGGGGGACAGGCCCCTGGGATTTTGGGAGGATGAATTGTCCCAGGTTTTGGGGTCCGGCTTTTCCTTGGGACCCCCCCAAAGTGGCTCCACCATGGCCGTGCTGAGATCTGGGGGTGACAGTGGCCCTGGCAGCGTGGCCAGAGTTTGGGGCTCCTCCTGATGTCCTTTCCATCCCAACTTGGCGGCTTTTTTGGGGTTCACTGCTGCTTGTCCCCAGCCTGGGGGACCCCTTTTTGTGGGGCTGGGGGGGGTTTACAGGGGGGTCCCCATCTGTGCCTGCTCCGGGCTCTGGGGATCCCCCGGTGCGGGGTCAGGGGCACGCCAAAAGTGACCCGGGACAGACGGGATGGCTGAACCGGGACAGCCAAACCGGGATGGCCGTGCTGGGATGGCCATGCCGGGATATTTTTTGGGAAGGAGGGGAGGGGACAGAGGAAAACCTGCGGCTGCTGCCGGTGCTGCTCAGAGCCGGGGGACCCCGTGGGAAAGCGGGCTGGGTGTTGGGGGGCTGCATCCAGCCCAGCTGACCCCACGGGAGGTTTGTTCGGGCCTTGGGGGATGCAGAGAGCGTCCCTACCGCGGGGATGTGTGCTGGAACTCAAAATGTCTTTTAGACCTTTTTGGAGGTTTTAGGCTTTGGTTAGAAGCATTGGAGACAGCTGTGATTTTCAGTTTGAGCTATGGAATGATTTACCAACTCTGCAGGTAGATGTGGAGGATTGTGACCTTGTCCCCCCTCGCTGACCCGCTGTCCCCCCCAATTTCCCAGGCCTATTCCCAGGACGCCTACCTGAAGGGCAACGAGCCGTACTCCGGGGGGGCTCAGAGCATCCCCGAGCCCCCTCCCATCTGCTACCCACGGAAAACGTACCCCTTCCAGGCCCGGGGTGCCGAGCCCGCCCCGGGCCAGCCGCCGGACCCCCGCGCCCCCCGCTCGGCCACCACCGGTCCCTCGTCCCCGCTCGGCGCCCGCAGCGATCCCGGCGGCAGCCCCGCGCACCGCCCCGAGGAACCGCAGCCCGGGGGTGTCCCCCCGCGCCCCACCGCACCCCACGGGCACCCCGGCTCCTTCTCCCGCGCCGCCTGCCCCGCCAGCATCGCATCCTACGGGGTGTCCCCCGCCGCCACCGCCTCCTACGGAGCCCCCAAACAGCTCCCGGAGCACCGGACTCACTGCGGCTTCAAGGAGGGCCTCGGGGGGCTCTCGGCGGGGCTCTCGGGAGCCGGGCGGCCCCCGCGGGACGTGCCGGGTGGGCAGCGTGTGCCCGGTCGCCAGGAGTGCCAGCAGGCGCTGTCGCGCTGGTTCTGCAGCCAGGAGCCGCGGCGCAGCGCCTCGGAGGAGCGGCGGCGCGCCATGCCCCGTTACCGGAGCGTGTCCCACGACCGCCTCGGGGGCTCCGGGCCCACGGCCCCGCGGGGCTGGCCCCACAGCGCCTCGCAGGACACGCTGCTGCAGCCCAGCCGGGAAGGTTGGGCCCCCCGCGCCCGCTCCGAGCATTACCTGGGCAGGTACGGGCGCTCCATGGAGGCGCTGGAGCCCGGCGCGCTGCTCTCCTCGCACCTCGAGCGCTCCGCCGAGAGGCTCTGCCGAGCCGCTGTCGCTGTCACCGCCACCTCCACCTCCGGGCAACCCATCCCACCCGGTTCTTTCGCCGCTTCCTCCTCCTCTTCCTCGTCGCCCTCCTCGCAGAAGCAGCCGTCGCAGCCCAACCTGCCGAGCGCGGATGACTCGGGCTACATCGGCTACCGCAGCTACAGCCCGTCCTTCCAGCGCCGCACCGGGCTGCTGCACGCCCTGGCCGGCCGCGACACGGCTTTTGGAGGCCTGCCCACCTTCAGCATCGCCCAGCGAGCGGTGGCCCCGCTCAGGGACAGCGCGGCCGGCACCGCCACCCCCGCCGCGGCCACCTCGGCGGGGCCCCGGGAGGCTCGGCCGCCCTCCGTGTCCGAGCGGCCGGAGGAGCGCCGGGACGAGGTGGTGCTGCGGCAGAAGCCGCCCACGGGCCGCAAGATGCCCCCGCCGCTGCGGCAGATGAATTTCGTGTTCCCCGAGGGGGTGAAGGACGCGGACATCGGTGACCCCGCCGGGGCCGCGGGCAGAGGGGACCGGCCGGGCAGCGAGCGGCCGGGCCGGCGAGTGGCTCCCTTGGCGGCCCCCGAGGACTCGCTGGCGTCCATCCCCTTCATTGGTGAGCGTGGGGGGATCGCTGCTCCCTAAATCCCTAAATCCCTAAATTCCTAAATTCCTAAATCCCCGGGAAGGCATTTAGGAATTCCCGTGCCACGGAGGGTGCGTTTGGGGGGGCAGAAGTCCAGAGCGTCCATCTGTGGACAGTGCGGAGAGGGGAAGGGCCCACAGCGTCCTGCACCCCACAGCGTACTGTACCCCACAAATATCCTGCACCCCACAAATATCCCACACCCCACAGTGTTCCACACCCCTGTCCCTGTCCCTGTCCCTGTCCCCGTCCCTGTCCCTGTCCCTGTCCCTGTCCCTGTCCCTGTCCCTGTCCCCGTCCCCGTCCCCATCCCTGTCCCTGTCCCTGTCTCACCTGGGAGGACCCAGCTGCCTTTGGGAAGCCGCAGCTCTGCCCTCTTGCTGCTCCCAGAGAAGGAGCTGTGTGGGACAGGGCAGGAGGGGATGTGATGGGGTCTCAGCCTTGCTGTGGGTGAGGGTCCGGGTGCCCCATCAGCTCCTGGGGGTGGCAGCGTGTCCCCAGCCCGACCCTGACACCAAACCCACCACGCTCAGAAGCGCCGGGTGGGGGTGGGTGGGGGTCCCAGCAGGGACTTGCCCTGCCCCAAACCGCCCTCCAACACTTCCCACCCCCCTCACAGACGAACCCACCAGCCCCAGCATCGACCTGAAGGCCAAGCACGTCCCGGCCTCCTCGGTGGTGTCCAGCGCCATGAACTCGGCGCCCGCCGTGGCCACCAGCCCCGCGTCGCCCACCTTCGCCTTCGCCCTGTCCCGGCACTACTCCCAGGACTGCAGTGAGTGCTGGGGAGGGGGAAACACCCTGGGAGGCTCAGAGGGGAGCAGCCCCCCACCCCAGCGCTGAGCAGGGCGGGTTTGCCCCTTCCCCACCGCAGGCAGCATCAAGGCCGGCCGCCGCTCCTCCTACCTGCTGGCCATCACCACCGAGCGCTCCAAGTCCTGCGACGACGGTCTGAACGCATTTCGGGATGACGGGAAGATCCTAAGGTAGGGCTGGAGCCCCCTCCCCCCGCTCCCACCGCCCCCCAGCTCCCACCCCTTCCCGCTGACAGGGGCGGCTCTCCCCGCAGGAGGATGCCCAGCCGGGTCCCCAGCCTCCGCATGCTGAGGAGCTTCTTCACCGATGGGGTGAGTGCCACGCTGGGGATGCCCTAAAGGCATGGGGAGGGTTCCCTGGTGGGGCAGGGGGTGCCGATGGCCTCACCCCAACCCCTCCCTCCGGCCCCTCGCAGTCTCTGGACAGCCTGGGCGCGTCGGAAGACGCCCGCTCCAAACGACACTCAACCTCCGACCTCTCGGACGTGCCGTTCAGCGCCGTGAGGAAGGAGGGCTGGCTCCACTGCAAGCAGATCCTCACCAAAAAGGGGAAGGTAGGAGATGGGGGGTCTTCCCCCAACCAACCCGGAGCCGCCTCAGCGGTGGGCACCGCTCCCTGAGGCCGGCGCTCCATCCCTTGTCCCCGCAGAAGGTCGGTGGAGGCATCCGGCAGTGGAAGCGCGTCTTCGCCGTGCTGCGCGCCCACTCGCTGTACCTGTGCAAGGACAGGCGGGAGGCGGTGACCTGCGCCCCGGCCCCAGGTGAGGAGGAGCCGCCGATCAGCATCCAAGCGTGCCTGGTGGACATCTCCTACAGCGAGACCAAGAGGAAGCACGTCTTCCGCCTGACGACCGCTGACTTCTGTGAATATCTCTTTCAGGCAGAGGATCGGGAAGACATGCTGGCCTGGATCAAAGTCATCAGGGAGAACAGCAAGGCTGAGGGCGAGGTGAGAGCCACATGGGGCTCCCGGCTGCCTCTGGCTCTCCCGGCACTAACCGCCTCGGCTCTCTCCGGCTCTTTGCCTTGTGCTGCTTCCCCAGGCCACGGCCAGGCCCGTGCCGTGCTCCCAGGGGTGCGTGGGGGCTCGTGGCTCCCGAGAAGAGCGTGGCCCCGCGGCCTCGGCCGGGGCAGGGCGCGCGGGGCGCTCGGCGGAGGGGCTGTGGCTCTACAGGCAGGGCTGGCGCCGGATCCGCCGTGCTGGTGTTGGGTTGTGCGGTGGCAGAAGAGCCTGTGTGGCTCTGCCGAGGTCTGGTGTGGCTGTGCCAGGGTGTGTCCTGGCTTTGGTGAGGTGCGGCGTGGCTGTGCCGTGGTGTGACGTGGCTGTGCCGTCGTTTGCCATTCTCCTGCCATGGTGTGACGTGGCTGTGCCGTCGTTTGCCATGGTGTGGCCTGTCCCTGCCGTGGTTCGATGTGGCTCTGCCCGGTTTAATGTGGCTCTGTCCGGTTTGACGCGGCTCTGCCCGGTTTAATGTGGCTCTGTCCGGTTTGACGCGGCTCTGCCCGGTTTGACGCGGCTCTGCCCAGTTTAATGTGGCTCTGGCCGGTTTAATGTGGCTCTGTCCGGTTTAATGTGGCTCTGTCCGGTTTAATGTGGCTCTGCCCGGTTTAATGTGGTTCTGCCCAGTTTAATGTGGTTCTGCCCGGTTTAACGTGGCTCTGCCCGGTTTGACGTGGCTCTGGCCGGTTTAATGTGGCTCTGCCCGGTTTGGTTTGGCGGCAGTGGTCACCCTGGACTTGCAGCTGGCTCCGGCCCTGGAGGGCGCGGTGAGCTCGGAGCGGTCTCTGGCTGGATGTGCACAGAGGGTGCAGGAGGCTCGGTGGGGACGGTTCTGCTGGGTCAGAACCAGACGGTTCTGCTGGGTCAAAAACAGATGGTTCTGCTGGGTTGGAACTGGACAGTGCTGCCGGGTCAGAACCAGACGGTGCTGCCGGGTCAGAACCGGATGGCACTGCTGGGTTGGAACCGGACGGTGCTGCTGAGTTTGAACCAGGTGGTGCTGCCGGGTCAGAACCGAACAGTGCTGCTGGGTCGGAACTGGATGGCACTACTGGGTTGGAACCAGATGGTGCTGCTGGGTCAGAACTGGATGGTGCTGCCATTCAGGATCAGAGTAGGACGGTGCTGCCAGGTTGGAACCAAATGGCACTGCTGGGTCAGAACCAGATGGTGCTTCTGGGTCAGAACCAGATGACACTGCCAGGTTGGAACCGGATGGTGCTGCTGGGTCAGAACCGGATGGTGCTGCCGGGTCGGAATAGGATGGTGCTGCCGGGTTGGAGCCAGGTGGTGCTCCAAGGTCAGAACCGGATGGTGCTGCCGGGTCGGAACTGGACAGTTCTGCTGTTTGGAACTGGATGCTGCTGCCGGGTTGGAACCGGACAGTGCTGCCAGGTTGGAGCTGGGCAGTGCTGCCGTTCAGAACCGGACGGTGCTGCCATGTCAGAACTGGATGGTGCTGCCAGGTTGGAACTGGACAGTTCTGCTGTTTGGAACTGGACGGTGCTGCCATGTCAGAACTGGACAGTGCTGCCGGGTCGGAACCGGTGCTCCGCGGCTGGAACGCGCGGAGTTGTGTGGTCAAACCCCGGTGCTGTGGTGCCATCAGGAGCATCCTGCGGGGATGGCTCAGTGTCCGTGGCGGTGCAGGTCGGCGCAGGTGTGCGTGCCACGGAAGGACACACCTGCGTCCGGCTCGGACCCCGCTCTGTGGCCTGGAGCGATGGACAGCAGTGGGGCTGTCCCGGGGCAGCGGGGACCTGGTGCTGCCTGGCCCCGCAGAGCGTGGACTTGCCCGGGGGTACCCAGTGGACGCGCTGCTCAAGCTCTCCCTTCCCCTCTTCTCTCTGCCTCCCCAGGACCCCGGTTTTGCCAGCCAAGCCCTTATCAGCAAGAAGTTAAACGACTACAGGAAAGTGAGGTACGGACCGGGGTGGTGGGCACCGAGACCCCCGGGGCGTTGGTCACCCTGGTGTGACGGTGACGGAGCAAAGCCGGCGGCTCCCTGGATGGGGCAGTGATGGAAGAGCCGCCCGCAGCCGGCGTGGCCTGGGGTCAGCCACAGCGGCACCTGGCACTTGTAGCGAGGCTTTGGAGCAGCCCGGTGCTCCCCCGGCTCTCTGTAGGAAGCCTGGGGGTGATGCTAGCAGTGTTTACCGGGAGCTTTTGTGCCGGGCTGGTACCCCTGGCCGTGCCCCACACGAGCCCTCCCCGCTCTCCCTGCAGCCCTGCGGGCGCCAAGCCCGACTCGTCACCCAAGGGCCCTCGCGGGCTGGGGATCCGAGCCGAGTTCCTGAAGCAGACGGGAACCAGCGCGCCCCGGTCCCCCAGGCAGGACGCAGCCGTCACAAAAGGTACGTGGGACACCCCAGGACAGCAAACCCGGGGTGCTTTGTGTCCCCAGCGCTGCTGTGGTGCTTATCCCTGTAGGGCTGCTCTTCCCATTTATCCCAAATGATCCTGTGGGGTTTTTTCCCCCCTGCTACAGATGAAAGCAGCTCCCAAAAAGCCCCGTGGGGCATCAACATCATGAAGAAGAACAAGAAATCTGCCCCGCGCACCTTCGGCGTGAGGCTGGAGGATTGTCAGCCTGCCCCGGACAACAAGGTACGGCCCCATGCCACCACCGCCAGCCCTCGGGGACTCTGCACAGGCCTGGCACCCCCTGAGCCCGTCCCTGTCCCTGCAGAACGTGCCCCTGATCGTGGAAGCGTGCTGCAAGGTGGTGGAGGACCGGGGCTTGGAGTACATGGGCATCTACCGCGTGCCCGGCAACAACGCGGTGGTGTCCAGCCTGCAGGAGCAGCTCAACAAGGGAGCCACCGAGATCAACCTGCAGGACGAGGTGAGGGCAGGGCAGGTGACTGTCCCCGTGGCTGGCCCCATCCCGCTCCTCATCCCTGTCATGCCTCTGGAATGTTCTCCTGGTTTTTGTCATCGTCCCTGTCCCTGTCACCATCCCTGTCCTTGTTATCACCTGTGTTCCTGTCATCATTCCTGTCCCCGTCATCATTCCCTGTCGTTGTTATCATCCATGTTCCTGTTATCATCCTGTCCCACCATCCCTGTCCTCATCATCCCCGTCTTCATCATCATCCCTGAACTTGTTATCATACCTGTCCTTGCTGTCATTCATGTTCCTGTCATCATCCTGTCCCATCATCCCTGTCCCATCATTGTCCCTGTCCCACCATCCCTGTCCCACCATCCCTGTCCCACCATCCCTGTCCCACTGTCCCTGTCCCACCATCCCTGTCCCATTGTCCCTGTCACATCATCCCTGTCCCACCGTCCCTGTCCCCTCCAGCCCCGTTTCCGTCCCCTGGGGTGGCAGGGCCACCAGGTGATCGCTGCCAGCACAGGAGGTGACACACTGGGGACACTTCTGTCCCCTTGCGTCTCGCCACGCCGCCGTGGTGGCTCAGGACTTTCCCTGGAGCTGTCCCTGGTTTGGGGACCTCATCCCGCTGTCCCCTGGGTGTCCCTGCTTGTCCCTCTGAGCAGCCTCTTCTGTCCCCCGCAGCGGTGGCAGGACCTCAACGTCATCAGCAGCCTCCTGAAATCCTTCTTCCGAAAGCTGCCCGAGCCCCTGTTCACCGACGGTGAGTCCCTGTCCCCCGGGGCCACCAGAGCCCCAAAACCCATCCCTGGTGTTGGGGACAGCCCCCAGACCCGGTGACACACCCACCCATGGTGGGGGACAGCGCTGACCCCCTGCCACCGAGGCCACTTGTCCTTGTCCCTCCTTGCCCTGCGGTGGGACCGGCACTGAGACCCTTCCCCGGTATCTCCAGCGGGTTCATCCGGGGGTCCCTGACTCTGTGGGGAGGGTGGTGGCCTGTCCCCTCCACCCCGCGGTGACACCCTGATGTGCCACTTCCAGATAAATACAATGACTTCATCGAAGCCAACCGGATCGAAGATGCCAGCGAGAGGATGAGGACGCTGCGGAAGCTGGTAGGGACGTGGGGCAGGGGTGGGGACATCACCCTGGAGCTCCTTTTGGGTGGGGACATCACCTTTGAGCTCTCTTTGGGTGGGGACATCACCTTGGAGCCCCTTTTGGGTGGGGACATCACCTTTGAGCTCTCTTTGGGTGGGGACATCACCTTGGAGCCCCTTTTGGGTGGGGACATCACCCTGGAGCTCCCCTTGGGTGGGGACATCACCCTGGAGCCCCTTTTGTGTGGGGACATCACCCTGGAGCCCCTTTTTGGTGGGGACATCACCCTGGAGGTCCCCTTGGGTGGGGACATCACCCTGGAGCCCCCCTTGGGTGGGGACATCACCCTGGAGCCCCCCTTGGGTGGGGACATCACCCTGGAGCCCCTTTTGTGTGGGGACATCACCCTGGAACTCCCTTTGGGTGGGGACATCACCCTGGACCCTCTTTTGGGTGGGGACATCACCCTGGAGCTCTCCTCGGGAGGGGACATCACCCTGGAGCCCCTTTTGGGTGGGGACATCACCCTGGAACTCCCTTTGGGTGGGGACATCACGCTGGAGCCCCTTTTGGGTGGGGACATCACCCTGGAGCTCCCCTCGGGTGGGGACATCACCCCGAAGCCCCCCTTGGGTGGGGACATTGAGCAGAGGGGGTGACCCGACGTGTCCCCACAGATCCGGGACCTGCCAGGCCACTACTACGAGACCCTCAAGTTCCTGGTGGGTCACCTGAAGACCATCGCCGACCACTCGGAGAAGAACAAGGTACCGATCCCCCACCCACCCTGCCCCACCTGGAGCCCCCCAGGCGGGGCCGGGCTGAGCTCTGAGCGGGCTCTGGGCGCAGATGGAGCCCCGGAACCTGGCGCTGGTGTTCGGCCCCACGCTGGTGAGAACCTCCGAGGACAACATGACCGACATGGTGACGCACATGCCCGACCGCTACAAGATCGTGGAGACGCTCATCCAGCACGTGAGTGGCACCCCTGGGTGGAGTGGGCAAGAGGGGGGAATGGGATCTGCACCCCAAAAATGGGGACGGAGTTCTGAACCCTCTGCTGTCTCCCCCACAGTCAGACTGGTTCTTCAGTGACAAAGAGGACAAGGGTGAGAAGGTGAGGCCTGTCCCCACTTAGGGGGTCTCGCTGTGGCTCAGGGGGGTGCAGACCCCCCAGTTGGGAGTTGGGGGGCTCTTGGCAGTGCCCTGATCCCCTTTTTTTCCCCCCGCAGACCCCCGTGGATGAGAAGGAGGCTCAATCCGTGCCCAACATCGAGTACCTGCTGCCCAACATCGGCAGGACCGCGGCGCCCGGCGATGCCGCAGGTGAGGGGTGGCACCGGTGGCATCGTCCCCTCCGCTCCTGGCACCCCGGAGCGCCCCTCCCGACTCTCTGTCCCACCCCTGCCCACATCTCCGGGCACGGCCACGGCCAACCTGCGTGTGCTGGAGTGTTTCCAAATCTGGGATCACCCCCTGGGGGTGCCCGAGGAGCCCCCTGCCCGCCCTGTCCGTCCCCCTTCTCTCCGCTGGCCACTCCGTGTCCCTCAGGGCAGTGCCCACCCCCGGGACCCCCGCGCTGCCACACCCGGAGACGGGGAGCCTTTGACGTTGGACTGATTTCTTACGTTCTTTCCTTGAACTTCTCTGTGCTGTCCTCTTCCTCCTCCTCCTCCTCCTCTTCCTCCTGCAGCGGATCTCCTCGAGAGCTAGAGCGGGTACAGTCCGATCCCGGGTGCATTGCTCACGCACTAACCCTCGGGGGGACCACGAGAGAGGGGGAGCAGGGGGCACAGCGGGAGGGGAGGGGACCCTGCCCTGCCTGGCACTGTCCCCAGGTCCCCAACACCAGCAGGGGAGATCCCCAAACCCTTCTCCCTCTGCTCCTCGTTGGCCAGTGCCTGTGGTGCCACCCCGCTGCAGGGATGGCTGTGGGGTGTCCCAGAACCCGCAAATTCTGGGGTGTGGGGTTCCCAAAGCCCCGGGGAGGGTCGGCACCCCCTTTCTGCCTCCCCCTCTCTCGTTGTCAGCACTGCTAACCCCGTCCCGGGCATGCGGGGCGGGAGAGGGGTCTGTGTGCTGTCCTTGTCCTTCACACGGCCGCAGCAGGGCCAGGGCTGCCTGTGCTCTCTGTGTCCGCTCTGTGTCCCCTCTGTGTCCCCTCCGTGTCCCCTCTGTGTCCCCTCTGTGTCCCCTCTTTACCCCGTAACCCCCCGGCCTGTCCCAGTCCCGCTCCGAGGCTGGCTGTGGCACGGAGCCACCTCCCCTCCCGGTGACACGGCAGTGGCAGCGCCCTGTCCCTGTCCCCTCTGTTTCCCGTGGCCGCGGGAGGGTTGGGGTCCCACCGCGGGGGTCCCGGCTGTGTGTCCCGGCTGTTTGTGCCCGCGTGTGTCCCCCTTGTCCCCACTCCTCACCCTGGGTGAGGCGAGCGATGCCAGGGACCCCCGCCCCACCCCTGCGACCACCGGAGCCCCTCCTGGCATGTCCCGCTGCTGTGACACCCCCGGCATGTCCCTGTCCTGGTTTGGGGGAACGGAGCAGCACCCCCAAAGAGACCCCAGACCCCTCCCCAGCACATTCCCCCCGCCGGGACCCCTCTAACCCCCCTCTCCCCTTTGCTTTCCAGGCTCGGCCCGCAGCGGCTCCGCCAAACCGAAGGTGAGCGGGGTCCCGGGCTGGGGCCGGCGGGGCGGGCACGAGGGGATGGGGACACTCCGCCCGTCCCTGTCGGTGTCGCCGCCACCCCTGACCCCGCTGTCCCCTCGCTCGCAGGGCACGTGGCCGTCGCGCAAAGCGCCGCCGCACCGGGAGCTCCTCGCCATCCCCTTCGTCTCGGCCGCCGCCCGCAAGAGGAAGAAGAGGAGAGAGGCCGAAGGCGTTGGGAGCAGCACCGACGACGACGCGGAGCGCAGGGACAGCCCGGGCCGGCAGCTGGAGCGGGAGATCCCCGCGGTGACACCGGGCAAAGCTCCCCGCGGCACCAGCACCGAGCCGGCGGCTCCGGGCCCGGCCGGGACGGAACGGGAACGCTCCGGCGATCCCGCGGGCACCGGCTCCGAGCCGGCACCGGACGCCCGCTCCATCGTGTCCGGCTACTCCACGCTGTCCACCATGGACCGCAGCCTGTGCTCCGAGGTGCACTCGGTGGCCGGGAGCCGCGGGGAGGAGGCGGATGACGAGCGCAGCGAGCTCAGCCACATGGAGACGGACACGGAGAGCCGCGAGGGAGCGCGACCGGGACAGCCCGGGGGACAGGACGGGACAGGCGACGAGGACAAGTCACCCCTGGGCCGCCCCTCTTTCAGCTCGCACCGCCTGATGCAGTGCGACACGCTGGCCCGCAGGAAGCTGGGGCGACAGCGGCCGGCCGGGGACACGGCGGGGGTGGCCGGCGGCCACGAGCAGAGCTGGGTGGCCACCGGGCGAGCGTCGCTGCGGGAGCAGCTCCGGCAGCACCTGCGGGGCTCCGCCGATGACTTTGGGGTCCGCCTGCGCCGGGCCGGCTCCCCCGAGAGCCGCCGCAAGAAGAGCGGCTGGCGCCGGCACACGGTGGTGGTGCCCGGTGGCCTTAAGGACCTCAACTTCAACGAGTGGAAGGAACCGCGGGGACACGAGGGGACAGCGGGACCCTGTCGCGACAAGGACTCGGGGCTCAGCAGCCTGGAGTCCACCAAAGCCCGGCCCGCGGTTTCCCCGCCGGCCCCGCCCGGCGCTGCTGGCCCGGGCACGGCCACCGAGAGCCCGGCCGCCGGTAGCCCCGGCCCCGCGGCGCCCCGGCGCTTCCCGCAGTGTCTGTGACCCCCCCGGGCCGCGTTTAATTTAAGGACTGTCCCTTGTCGCCGTATTTAATTGTGCTCTGGATGAGCTGTTGGCGTTATTTAACAGGTCCCGGTGGCCGCGGAGGGGACAAGAGCCACCGCGTCCCCCACGCTTTGGGGACCGGCGGTGGTGCCACCGCACGGTGCCCCAGTCCCCGGGCAGTGCCAGGAGGGGCGTGGGGGGCTCACGGGGACTGTCCCCAGGGGTGGCACTGCTGTCCCAGTGCGAAGTGCGGGCACTTCCCTGAGCGCTGCGGCTGCTCCGGATGGGACCTGGCCCGGGTTGGGGACACTGGGGACACTGGGGACCTCGGTGTCACAGACCCTTGGGGAGCCTGGGGACATCAGGGTCACAGACACCTGTGCTGGGGACCTTGGGGACCTCGGTGTCACAGTCCCTTGATTTGGGGAACCCTGGGGACCCTGTCAGAGACCCCTGCCCTGGGGGAACTTGGGGACATCAGGATCAGAGACCCCTGCCCTGGGGGACCTTGGGGACATTAGGATCAGAGACCCCTGCCCCGGGGGACCTTGGGGACATCAGGATCAGAGACCCCTGCCCCGGGGGACCTTGGGGACATCAGGGTCACAGACACCTGCCCTGGTGACCTTGATGACAGACCCTGGGGACATCAGGGACCCTGGGGACATCAGGGACCCCAGTGACCTCGATGACAGACCCTGGGGACATCAGGGACCCCGGTGACCTCAATGTCAGACCTTGGGGACCCTGGGGACTCTCCATGCCCTGAGAACGTTTTGGGGTCCCACCTCAGAGACCCCTCCCCGTGTGCTGGCATCCCTTGGGGACCTCAGCGCTGTCACCCTCACCTGGGGGGGCTCTGCAGAGCTGGCACTGACAGGGGACACCCTGTGACAGGGGTGGGGACACCGCCACCCTTTTCCCTCCTGGAATGTCCCCGTTGTCCCCTCCCATCGCTGTCCCCTTCCTGTCCCCCCCCTCAAGGCCAGAAGCACTTTAGGAAGGGAATTGGGGACATCGGGAGTGGCCACAAGTGCCACCACCTGGTGTCACACCCTGTCACCGGTCTCTCCGTGTCCTTCTCGTACCTTATGCAAATATTTGCTGTAAAGTCGTTGGGTTTTTCCTTTTTTTTCGTTATTTTTTGGGTTTTTTTGTTATTTTCTTCCTTTCCCCGTCCCTGTAAATATCATCCCAGCCCCTGTAACATATCCCAAAGGATTTCTAAGGATTTTTTAAGAAGTTTTGCTCAGCCAGCCCCGAGCAGGGGACGTGCTGGACCAGTGGTGACTTTTTAAAACCCTCCTGCATGTCCCCACCCCCAAAAAAAAACCCCAAAAAACCCCCATAAAAAAACCCCTTCCCACCCCAATTCCTCAATCTGCAAAACTGCAAAAAAAAAAACTCCAAACCAACCCAAAAAATCCCCCTTGCTTTGCCCCCCTCCCAGCTCCAGGCTATATATTGGAAATAAACTGGTTATTCAAGGTTTTGTTGGTGTTAATTCCCTTTTTTTGTTGGTTTTTTGTTTTTTGGTGGGCAGGGACCTCCCCCAAATTCCTGCTGCTGGGAATTTTTATTCCCAGATTTCTCCGCGGGAGGAAAAATCTCATTTTTCTCTGAGCCCGTGGGGAGGAAATAACAGAATTGGGGATGCCCCATCCCAGTCAAAATTCTCAATTTTTGATTTCTCAAATTCCTCGAATTTCTCAAAGTTTTTGAATTCCTCAAATGTCTCAAATTTCTCAAATCCCTCAGATGTCTCATTTCTCAAATGTCTCAAATTCCTCAGATTCCTCAAATTTCTCAATTCTCAAATGTCTCAGATTTCTAAAATTTCTCAAATTTTTCAAATTCCTCAAATGTCTCAATTTCCTCAGATTCCTCAAATTTCTCAATTCTCAAACGTCTCAAATTCCTCAGATTCCTCAATTTTCTCAATTCTCAAATGTCTCCAAATTCGAGAAGGGAACGAAAGCGAAAGAGAAGAAAATCTCCAGAAAAAGACAGAAAAAGAGGCCGAAAAAAAAAATTAAAAAAAAAAAAAAGGTAATTTTATTAAAGCCGGACACTCTGATAGAAAAGAAAAATTAGAAAGGGAAAAAAGGAAAAGAATAAAAAGCAACCCTTTTGTCACGGGAATAATTACAACGGTCACACACAACTACCCATGGCATCCACGGTGACACGGGGGGACACGGCGTGGGGAGGGGGTGACACAGGGCGGGGGAGGGGTCCCCTCCCTCCCCTCCCCCTCTTTTCCCCTGCGCGAGGCTTTTTTTTTTTATTATTAATTTTTTTTTACATTTTTCTTCATTTTTTCCCTTTTTTTTTTTTTCTTCCCCTCCGTTTTCAACTTTTTTTGTTGTTGTTGGTTTTTTTTTGTTCCTTTTATTTCCTTTTTTAAAACAGTTCACGAGAAAATTCATGCGGAAAAGAGAGAGAGACACGACGGCGTAGAAACCCCAAAACAGCCTCTAAGTAGAGCCAGAAATTCACTTTTTTTTCCTTTTTTTTTGGCGTTTTTTTCGCTTTTTCTTCTCAGTTCATCTTTTTTTTTTTCTTTTTTTTTGTCCTTTTCGGAGTCGTAGCCTTTTATTTTTATTTTTGTTGGTTTTGAAACAACATCCAGACGAGTAAAGCGGGGAGCGCATGCAGCGGGCGCCTCCGACACATGCACGATGCAGGCAGCGCTTGGATTTGGGCTTTTTTTGTGCTTTTTACACATTTTCCTCTTTTTTTTTGTCATTTTTAATTTTTTTTTTTCCGGTTTGAACCGGATTCGAGTTGTTTTGTTTTGAATTTTGGTGGTTTTTTTGGTTTTTTGTTGTTGTTTTTGCTTCAGCGGGGGATTTGCGCGATGCCATGAAGGGGACGGACGCACACGCACACGCGGGGACATCACGCTCACGGGGACACCAGCTGGGACAAGGGGACATCACGGGGGGGGGTTTGGGGACAGTTTGGGACCTGCCACCCCCTCAGCTGGCCTTGTCACCCCCCTCACCTGGCGCTGTCACCCCCTGGTTTGGCATTGTCACCTCCCGGCTTATGACGAGCGGAGAGGGGCGGCCTGGGGACAAAGCAGGGGACCAGCCCCAAAATTGGTGACAGGCTGGGGACACCATGGTGGGGACACCAAATTGGGGACACCAAATTTGGGACACTGAGATGGGGACACCAAGATGGGGACACCAAATTTGGGACACCAAATTGGGGACACTGAGATGGGGACACCAAGATGGGGACACCAAATTGGGGACATCAAGATGGGGTTACCAAATTTGGGACACCAAGATGGGGACACCAAATTTGGGACACCGAGATGGGGACACCAAGATGGGGACACCAAATTTGGGACACCGAGATGGGGACACCAAGATGGGGACACCAAATTTGGGATATCAAGTTGGGGTCACCAAATTTGGGACACCAAGATGGGGACACCAAATTGGGGACACCGAGATGAGGACACCAAATTTGGGACACCGAGGTGGGGACACCATGATGGGGACACTAAAGTGGGGACATTGAGGACAGCCTCCTCCAGTGTCATTTTTGTTGGCGTCCCCATGGAGGGTGGCACTTGTCAACCCCCCATGACATTTTTGTGGGTGTCCTCAAGTGGGTGGCATTGTCACCCTGGAGGTGGGTGTCACCGAGTGGGTGGCATTGTCACCCCCCCATGACATTTTTGAGGGTGTCCACAAGGGGGTGGCACTTGTCACCCCCATATGGGTGTCCCCAAGGGGGTGGCATTGTCACCTCCATGCAGATGTCCCCACAGGGGTGGCATTGTCACCCATGGAGGATGGCATTGTCACCTCCATCTGGATGTCCCCAAGGGGGTGGCATTGTCACCCATGGAGGATGGCATTGTCACCTCCAGCCAGCAGCGCTCGGGAGCTGCCACCGCGCCCCCTCCTCAGGCGCCAGGAGGTGACAAAAGGAGGTGACAGAAGGTGACAGGGCGGGGCAGGGGAGGGGACAGCGCCACGTGCCACCACTGCGGCTTTGCTACAGCGAATCCACTTTGGTACCGAGAAAAAAAATTAATTAAAAATCAAATTAATTGGGAACGCATCCGCGACTGCTATTGCTGCTGGCACTGGGGCGCGGGCCGGTGTCCCCAAGGCCACCAGGGGACACCTGGGGACACCTGGGGACACCTGGGGACAAGGAGAGAGGGCGGGGACTCAGCGCGACACGAGGAGCTCTAAACCTAAGCAGGGATTTGGAATCCAGCCCCTAAATAATTCCGGACGTGATTTATTTATTTCTCTATTTCTCTTCTTTTTTCCTCTTTTTTTTTTTTTTTTAGGATTTTTTTTTCCCCTCTTTAAATATTTATATATAGATTTATATTACGTATATTATATATATATAATATGTAAATATATTTTTTAAAACAATATAAAATGTTAAGACACTTCACTTAAATGTAAAGAGTTGCTTTTTTTGCAATCCAAAGAAATTGCATCATGATTTTTTTTTTTCCTTTTTTTTTTTTTTTAACCTTCCTTCCTCTTTTTAATTTTTGGTATTTTTTTCTTTTTTTTTTTTTTCTTTTTTTTGTCCTTTTTTGTGTGTGTTTTCTCTTTGTTATTCAAAAAAAGGCTCTCGTTTCTTCTGTACAAAAATGATCGAGATACAATAAAAAAAACCCGAAAAACAAACAAAACGCAAAATCAGAGGAAGGGGGGAAAAAGGACGAAAAAAGGAATTGAAATTAAAATAAAACCCGAAAATAATCAAACAATCAACCCAAGGACGAAACGGAGAACGGAAGGAGTGATCGGATCTCGTGCTGCACACGCAGAGCACATGCACACACACAGCTGGGCACACCTGGGCACAGCTGGGCACACCCAGAACACACCTGGGCACAGCTGGGCACACCTGGAGTGCACCTGGGAACAGCTGGGCACAGCCAGAACACAGCTGGGCACAGCTGGAGTGCACCTGGGCACACCTGGGCACATCTGGAATGCACCCAGAGCACACCTGGGCACAGCTGGGCACACATGAGATGTACCTGGGCACACCTGGGCACACCTGGGCACTGCTGGGGTGTACCTGGGCACAGGTGGGACACACCTGAGATGTACCTGGGCACACCTGGGCACACCTGGGTACACCTGGAGCCCACCTGATGCCCACCTGTGGCACACCTGGGGTCTACCTGGGCACACCTGGGGTGTCTCTGGGCACACCTGTGTACACCTGTGCACACCTGAGATGTACCTGGATATACCTAGGCACATCTGGGGCACACCTGGGCACCGCTGGGGTGTACCTGGGCACACCTGGGACACACCTGAGATGTACCTGGGCACACCTGGGCACACCTGGGCACACATGAGATGTTCCTGGGCACACCTGGGCACACCTGGGTACACCTGGAGCCCACCTGATGCCCACCTGTGGCACACCTGGGGTCTACCTGGGCACACCTGGGCACACCTGATGCCCACCTGTGGCACACCTGGACCCGCCCGGTGCCCCCCACCCCAGGCTGGGCAGAACCGGGGCTGCTCCCTTGGGGAGGTGACAAAACCGTGCCCGCGTCACCCCGCCGGGACCCCTCCCCAATAATTCCCCAATAATTCCCCAAGAATTCCCCGATAATTCCCCAAGAATTCCCCAATTCACACCCGCGCCCTGCGGCCCCTCCGGCACTCCCGGGGACCCCCCGGTGCCCCCCGAGGGGAGCCGGGCGCGGCGGCGGCGGAGGTGAGGAGGAGCCGGGATGTCCCTGAGCCTTCGGCCTCGGCGGGCGCCCCGCGGGGAGCCGCGGCCGGGGCTGTCCGCTCCTCCCGCGGGGACACCGCGGCGGCGCCCGGGCCGCTCGGGGGTCGCTCCGGGGGTCGCTCCGGGGGCGTCTTCGGGCGCCGCTGCTTCCCGGTTTTCCGCGAGGTGGGAGCTGGAAGCTGCTCCTGGCTGGAGGCTGGTGGGGGGAAGCTCTGAGAGCTCTTAAATAAATAGAAAATAAAAACAAAAAACAAAAAACCAAAACAAAACAAAAAACCAAAAAGTGGGGAGGGGAAAAGGGGGGAAAAAAAGAGAGGGGAGGGGAACGAACCAACAGTGATCCAAAGGGGAGGGGGAAAAGGAGGAAAGGAGGAAGAAAAGGAGGGAAAAAAGGAGAAAAAGAGGAAAAAAAGGAGAAAAAAAAGGAGGAAAAAAAAGAGAAAAAGGAGGGGGGAAAAGGAGGAAAAAAAGGAGAAAAGGAGGAAAAAAGGGAGAAAAATAGGAGGAAAAAAGGTGAAAAGAAGGAGAAAGGGAGAAAAAAGGAGGAGGAAAGGAGGAAAAAAGGAGGAAAAAAGGAGAAAAAAGGAGAAAGGGAGAAAAAATTAGGAGAAAAGGAGAAAAGGAGGGAAAAAGGAGAAAAGGAGGAAAAAAGGAGGGAAAAAAAGGAGGAAAAAAGAGAAAAGAAGAAAAAAGGAGGAAAAAAGAGAAAAGGAGGAAAAAAGGAGTAAAAAAAAGGAGGAAAAAAAAGAGAAAAGGAGGAAAAAAGGAGGAAAAAAAGGAGAAAAGGAGAATAAAAAACCAAAAAGAGAGAGAGAGAAACAGAAAGTGGCTGGTTGGCCATGGCGGAGCGGGAGGGGACACAGATTCGGGCCGAGGCGCGGCACAGGCGAGACACAAAAGTTCTTTTTTGGCGGAGCGGAGGCGACAAAAAAACACGGATGGAAACAGAGAGAGGAGGGGACACAGGTGGCGGATTCCCCTCCAGAGAGCGCCTCAAGGAGAAGCCAAGTCCCAGGGAGGAAGAGGAGCCCGAGGAAGAGAGGAGGAAGGCCCCGGGAGCAGGAGAGCGGCCGGGCGGAGCTGGCAGGGAGCTCAGAATGAGATGGAGGAGTTCCTGGCCCCAAAGGAAGTCAATACGGGGATGGAGGTTCTGCCAGCTGCGGGTTTTTCTGAGACCGTGGGGGAGGTCTCACTGGCCTCTTTAGATGGTCTAGTGGCCTGGAAAGAAAAGCAAGATTCAAGGAGGACGAGGAGGAGGAGGAGGAGGAGAAAGGGGTGGAAAGTCCGAAGAGAAAGAAAAGCTTTAAAAGAAAAAAAAGACAAAAGAAAGGAAAATAAATGAAAAAAATGGAAAAAAAAAAGCAAAAAGGACAGAAAAAACCCCAAAAACGACGGAGAAGCAAAAGGAGCTCGTTGAGAAAGCGGCACTGAGTCAGGCCTGAGGTCAAGCAGCTGGAAAAGGGCCACCACCACAAAGAGCAGCGACGAGAACGGGTCCCACGCGTCACTGACACGGGCAGGGGACGTCCCCGAGGGGTGAGGACGGACGGACGGACGGACAGACGCACAGCCACACACAGCCGGGGTGGGGGAGGGCACAGGGGACACGGGGGGAGGCACAGGGGGGACAAGAAGGGCAGCGTTAGAGCGGGCACAGCCCCCGGCAGCGCCCGAGGGCGGCGGTGCCCGCGTGTCCCTGTCCCCCGCTGTGCCACGGGGATGGGGACACGGATAAATCCCACACGGGGGATGAAAGTGACACGGAAAAGTCACTGCTGTGGCCACCCCGGTGTCACCGAGGCGGTGACACCAACAGCCGGGGCTGTGCTGCTGGGTGGCCTCCAGGGGAGGGGACTCGGTGGCCTCATGGGGTCAGGAGATGCTTCCTGGTCCCTCAGGTTTGTCCGGACCAGGGAAAATCCAGAGGGAATCTCTGCCTCTCCCTGATTCCATGAGGTGGGACAACATCACACCCTCGAGGGACACCTTGAAAAACCTCAAAAAACCTCAAAAAACCTCAAAAAAACCCCTCAAAGAACCTCAAAAAAACCCCCAAAAACCTCCACAAACCCTCACAAAAAACCCCTCAAAAACCCCTCAAAGAACCTCAAAAAAACCCCAAAAACCGCAACAAACCCTCAAAAAAACCCCCTCAAAAAACCCTCAATGAACCTCAAAAAAACCCCAAAAAACCACAACAAACCCTCAAAAAAACCCTCAACAAACCTCAAAAAAACCCAAAAAATCTCAACAAACCTCAAAAAACTTCAAAAAAACTTCAACAAATCTCAAAAAACCGCCTCCCTGGGGAGGTTTTTCCGCTGGGAACGGAGCAGCCGAGGGGGGGTTGACCCTTTTTTGCCAACAAGTGCCCATTTTGCTCATTCCACATTTTTCCCCCTCCGAACCCTGCTGCCAGGAGCTGGGAAAATCCTTCGGTTTGTCCGAGGGAGGCGGAGAATGAGCAGAATTGGGTTTATTTCGTGGTTTTTGGGGGTGGAAAAGGGATCGAGACACAGAGCGGGGGCAGAGGAGGGGTGGGGGTGAACCCGCTCGTGGTGCTGCTGCCCAGCGAGGGGGAAAAAGGGGTGCAGGGAGGGGGGGACTGGGTCAGCAGGGAGGGACAAAGGCCACCCAAGTGGCCGTGATCCCCCGGGCCAGCTGGGAATGCACGGGCAGCACTGGGGTGACAGCGGGGACAGAGTGGGGGGAACCCCGAAGTTGCCCCCTGAGGTGGGGAGGGGGTCAGTGCTGGCTGCTGGGGGGTTTGGGGTGCTCCATCCCACCCCCAAAACGCTTCTCTTCCAGCTGCTGTGGCCCGTTCACACTGTCACCACAGTGTCACCACAGTGTCACCACAGTGTCACCACCCCGCTGGGACACCCACCAGCTGCTTCTGTGGGTGCACAGAGGGGGAGGAGGGTCTCGGCTCCCCAGAACCTCCCCCAGCAGGGAATTCTTATCCCGCGGCTCATCAGCACGGCCAAGGAGGTGGCATTGTCCCCATGAGGTGAGGGGACAACGCCAGGAGCTCGGCCACCCCCTCAGGGTGACAGCGCTGGGCGACAAACGCGGCTTCAGCCAGGAGGAGTTTGTGACTCTCTCATGTCCCCGTTGGGACAGAGCAGGCACAGAGCGTGACAAGAGCCACTCCCGCACCGCCACCACCGCGTCCCTCTGTCCCCAACCCCAAAGCCGAGAAGGCACCAAAAAATAAAATAATAAAAAAAAGAGAGAACGCGATCCCAAAACTCATCACCCCGCGGGTGTCCCCGGCTCGGGCCGTGCCCAGGGCGATGCCAGGGGGGTGGGCAGCCCTGGGGGGCGGCTCTAGGGGTGGGGTACCTGCTGCTGGCCCTGGATCCGCATGTATTCCATGCGCTGCTTGATGTGCTTGCCCTTGTCGGGGCTGCCCTGCTGGCCCTGCTTCAGCCGCGACGCCGGATTCACCACCTTCATCGCCGGGATGGAGACGCCGCCGCTCTGCCGGGACAAAATCCAGAGGGAAAAGGGTTAAAAATTGGTTGTCGGAGCCCTGGATGGATGGAGATGTGCCACCCCTGCCGGCACAGCCCGTGGGGACAATGCCAGGTCAGCACCGAGGTCACCGGCTCGGCCGCGAAGCTCCGAACCCCACCGGGACTTACCGGGAGGCAACCGAGAGGGAGTTTAGGGCACGCACGGCAAACACCGGGACACCAGGGGACAGCCAAGAGAGAGGGGAAAGAGGCGGCGGCAGGCAGAAGCAGAATTCCAGGTGGGAACGGCGGCAGTGGGAATACAGAGGAGTTTATTTACTGTGCACAGGATCCACAGATGGCAGTGCCACACGCACCCTGTGTGTCCCCTCCCGAGCCCAAGTCCCCTCCCGGTGACCTCCTGCCCTGTCCTGTCGCAGCCCAAATTTGGGATGGCTCAGGTGAAGCGCTGGGATCCTCAGTGATCCCCACAGGTTGGACAAGGGGGATTCCCGCACCCCTCAGCACGAGGAAATCATCAAAGGATGGAAAATCAACTGGGAGGGACCCACGAGCATCAGCAGAGTCCAAATCCCAGCCCTGGAGAACCCCACAAGTGTCTGTGCCGCACCACCCGCAGCATTCCCAGCCCTGGGAATCTTCCCGAGCAGCTCAGAATCCTTGGAATGTGACACCAGCCGCGCCCTGCCCTGCTCTGCTTTAGGACTGACCCAGCACAGCTCCTCCCGCCTGGCTTCGCCCAGCCCCAGCCATAAATCCATCCCGTATCTCCACTTCCCCTTTCCCGGGGGAAAAACCCTGGGAAAAATTGCAGCTACACCCCCGTTCACCCAGCGAGAGCCCCCCGAGGACGGCTCCAAGTGGAAAAACAGATTTTTTTTGGTTTTCCCCAGCGCTGACTGTTAATAAAGGAGCAGGTTGTCATCGCGGCAGAGCTCAGGGCGTTTTTTCCCTCCCTCCCTGCTTTTTTCCCAGATATTCAGCTGGATTCCAGCAGAAAGCAATTTGGGATGGCTCCAGGGAGCCCGTGCTGCGGTTTAATGAGGAGAAACATCTGCCAGGCTCCGGCTGCCGCTCCTTAGGAGAGGGATTTTATGGGAAATGGTGAAACCGAGAGCGGTGCTTCAGCATCCAGCCCTGGCTGACCCCGAGGGATGCTCGTGGATCCCGTGGGATGATCCTGAACCCTGTGGGATTTTTGTGAACCCCATGGGATGCCCATGGACCCCGTGGGATGCTCCTGGACCCCGTGAGATTTTTGTGGATCCTGTGGGCTGCTCTTGGACTTCATGGGATGCTCCTGGGCCCCTTGAGATGATCTTGGATCCCATGGGATTTTCATGGACCCCATGAGCTGCTCTTGGACCCCACAGGATGTTCCTGGACCCCGCAGGATACTCTTGGATCCCATGGGATGCTCTTGGACCTCATGAGATTCTCCTGGACCCCGTGGGATTTTTGTGGACCCCTTGGGGTGCTTTTGGATCCCATGGGATGCTCCTGAACCCTGTGGGATACTCTTGGATCCTGTGGGGTGTTCCTGGACCCTGTGGGATGATCCTGGACCCCGTGGGATGATCCTGGACCCCGTGGGATGCTCCTGGACCCCGTGGGATTTTCATGGATCCTGTGGGCTGCTCTTGGACTTCATGGGATGCTCTTGGACCCCATGGGATGCTTTTGGATCCCATGGGATGCGCCTGGAACCTGTGGGATTTTCGTGGACCCCATGGGATGCTCCTGGACCCTGTGGGATGCTTTTGGATCCCGTGGGATGCCCATCCTGACCTGGTCCTTCAAAATCCTGCCAGGGCAGAAGAATCCCCTTTATCCGGGGTATAACTCCCGGACGGGATCAGCCAGCACCACCCGGCACCTTCTCCCTTCCAGCTCCTGCCTCGCTCACTCCTGCCCTTCCCAGAGCCCTCCAAGTGTCAGGGAGAAGAGGAAGACTCGCTCTGCACCCCGGCTCTGCCTGGAGGTGCAGTCACAGAGAGGGAGCAGGCAGAGGAAGAGACACCAGAGTGAATCCAGGGCAGAGCAGGGCACGGGGGAGAAGAGAAAATGAACCTGGGGAGTGCCGGGGGGCAGCTGCGGCTTGGGGAGCAGCGCTGGCCTGGTCCTGCTCGGAAAGGGACTCTTGGCAGCACCATCCTTGGCCTGGCTGAGGTCCAGCGCGGTGTCAGCGTCACAACCTCCGTGTCCGAGGTCCCTCAGGCTCTTCCCGGCCTCCTCGGATCCCAGCGCGCCCTTGGGGAACGCGAATCCCACGGCGGGGTGGCCGCTGATCTCGCTGATGGTCATTTCCAGCTCGCGGATGGTTTCCTCCAGGCTGTCCAGTCTCTGGTAGGTGTTCTCATAAATCTCCTTTTTGCCCGGGGTGGCGGGGGACAAGCGGCCTCTGCAGAGCCCCTCCGCCATTCCAGGGTCACCCTCAGCAGCCGGAGCTCCTCCATCCCCTCCCGGAGGTGCCGTGGTGTGGCTGGAGCGGGCAGGGATCCGCTCCAGCGGCTGCTGCTCCACCCGGGAATGTCCCGCTGCCCACGGGGCCGGGTCTCTGCCCACAGAACCCCCAGGATGTGCCCCAGGGCGGGTTGGCAGCTCTGGATCTGGGGCTGGTGGGTTCTCCTCCCTCCACGCGGCTTTGGGAACCCCGGCTGAGCATCCAGGAGCGAGCCTGGCTCCTCTTTGGGAGTCCCCATCGCCATTGGGGATTTGGGGGATGATCCCGGCATGGATGGAAGGGAGCGCGGCCTCTGCAGCTCCGGCACCTTCCCCGCGGCTCCGAGGAGGCCACGCAGCCGCAGGACTTTGGGGACAAATCTTTGGGGACAAATCGCTGCCTCCTGGCCTGCTGGCAGCGTCCAGAGCCGCGTCCCCTCCTCGTCCCCCCGTTTTATCCCTCGGGGCTGCCGAAGGAAACGCCCGGGATGTGCTGCCGGGGGAGCGCGGCGCTGGAGGGGGTTCCTGTGCCAGCGGGGATTTTGGGGAGCTGCCAGGAGCCGCCACACGGCCTCTCCTTGTCCCCTCGGGTGGCAGCTGCCCTCCTGCTGCTGCGCTGCCCGGTGGCACCCACAGCTCCGGCTCGGCTTCGGGGGACGGCGGCTCCGACCCGCACTCGGTGAGCACGATCTGGGGCAGGGAGAAGGCCCGGCTGGCCGGGGCTGCCAGCGGCTCCTAGGCAGAGAATTCAGACAGATTAGGGGCCAGCAGGCAGCGGGTTTGCCTGGGAGGCACCACGGGGCGCCAGAAGTTATTGGGGTCCCCCCATGCTGGTGCTTGTGGGCACGGCAGAGTTCCAGGTGGGGCTTTGGGAAGGGAGGGGGGCTCAGATCCATCCTGCCCATCCCAAATAGCCCAGCGGGATTCATGGCAGGGGCAGGGGATGGAGGGGGTGGATCAGCTCCCTCCTCCAGCCCTGACATCCCGCAGGGATCCACAGCAGGGACAGGGAATGGAAGGGGATGTTCAATTCCCTCTTTTCCAGATCTGACATCCCACAGGGATCCACAGCAGGGACAGGGAATGGAAGAAGATGTTGAATTCCCCTTTTCCAGCTCTGACATCCCACAGGGATCCACAGCAGGACAGGGAATGGAAGGGGATGTTCAATTCCCTCTTTTCCCGCTCTGACATCCCACACACACAGTCCCTCCTCCAGGTGTTTTCCTCCTGCTCTTTGGACCCTGGACATTCCCTACTCCATCCTGGACATTCCCTACTCCATCCTGGCATTCCGTACTCCATCCTGCCATTCCCTGCTCCACCCTGGACATTCCCTGCTCCATCCTGGACATTCCCTGTTCCATCCTGAACATTCCCTGCTCTGTCCTGGCATTCCCTGCTCTATCCTGGACATTCCCTGCTCTATCCTGGACATTCCCTGCTCCATCCCAGCTCGGATCTCAGGAGGGCCAGGACAGGGCCGGGCCCAACTCCGGGACGATCCCAAACCACCGGATCCTGCTCCAACCCTTCCCTTTCCATGCATGGAGCGGAGTCTCCCATGCAGTGCCCACCCCTGGGGCGTGCCGTGAGAGCGGCGGGTGCTGCCCGGTGCTGGGGTGGCCCCGGGAGTCTCCCGGGACCCACGGCCATGGGTCAGTGTTGGCTCCGGTGCCTCCCGGGAGCCACGGCTGTGGGTCAGTGCCAGCTCGGGAGCCACGGCCGTGGGTTAGCACCAGCCCCGGTGCCGTGTCAGTGCCGGGAGTGAGGCAGTGAGGAGACAAGGCGGTGATTAGTTGGTTAAATCAGAGAAAAGCAGCGCAAGTGAGCGGAGAAGAGGAAGAGGAGGAAGGCGGTGAGAGCGCGGCCCCGTGGAGCCGTTACCTTCCGTCCTTCGGCTCTGTCGGGCCGCGGCTCGGAGCGACCCGGGGACGCGGCCTCGAGGGGGTCCCAGCGGGGCGCGGGGGGGGAAGGGGAGGCAGAGCTCCGCTGAAACACCTGGGGAGTCAAACACGGCCACTGTGGGCACGGAGGGGCAACTTGGGCCTGGCCACTGCGGGGACAGAGGGCCAGCCTGGGCCTGGCCACTGCGGGGACAGAGGGGCAACCTGGGCCTGGCCACTGCAGACATGGAGGGGCAACCGCGGACTGGCCACTGCGGGAACACAGGGGCAACCTCAGCCTGCAGTGGGCTCATGGTGGTCACAGCCCGAGCAGGTGGGATGGCGCGGGCAGAGGCAGCGTTGTCCCCTGTGCTGCTGGCAGTGTCACCTGTCCTCTGTCTGGTCCCCCAGCCAGCAGTGTCACTGGTCCCCTGGCCATCAGCCTCACCTGTCCCCTGGGCCAGCAGGGTCAGCCATCCCCTCGCCATCAGCGTCACCAGTCCCCTGGCCAGCAGTGCCACCTGTCCCCAGGCCACCAGCATCACCTGTCCCCTGGCCAGCAGTGTCACTGATCCCCTGGCCAGCAGTGTCACTGGTCCCCCGGCCACCAGCATCACCTGTCCCCCAGCCAGCAGTGTCACTGGTCCCCTGGCCGGTGTCACATATGAGGCAGTGTCACCTATGGGGTGGTGTCACCTGCTGGTCAGTGCCACCCGTGGGCTGGTGTCACCTGCGTGCCGGTGTCACCTGCGTGCCAGTGTCACCGACGTGCCAGTGTCACCTGCGCGCCGGTGCCTCCCGCGCTCACCTCCAGCTCGGCCAGGATCCGCTCCTCGTCGTCGTCGTCCTTGCCGGCCGAGGCGATGGCGGGCGGGGTGGAGGCCGGCCGGGCCACCTCGGACACCGCCCGCCGCAGCTTCACCGGCGGCTTCGGCGTCTCCAGCTCCTCCGACTCCGCCTTCTGCCGGGGGAGCGGCCGTGAGCGCCGGGGGCACCGGGGGGAACCGGGGGGAACCGGGGGGGAACCGGGGGGAGAGGACCGTGAGCGCTGGGGACACCGGGGGGAACCAGGGGGAACGGGGGGACACCGAGGGACACCGAGGGGTACCGGAGGGCACCGGGGGCAGCGGGTCGTGAGCGCTGGGGACACCAGGGGGCAGGGGGCCGTGAGTGCTGAGGTCACGGGGGCACCGAGGGGTACCGGGGGGCACTGAGAGGACACCGGAGGGCATCGGGGGGCACCAGGAGACATCCGGGGACACTGAGGGAGACCGGAAGGCACCGAGGGGACACTGAGGGACACTGAGGAACACCGGGGGATACCGGGAGGCAGCAGGGGACACTGAGAGGCACCGGGGAGCACCGGGGAGCACCGGGGAGCACCGAGAGGCCCCAGGGGGCACCGGGGGACACCGGGGGGGCACCGGGGGGACACCGGGAGGGGTCGCGCTGACCAGCCCAGCCCAGCCCTCATCCTCACCTTCATAAAGCCGGGCTCCTTCTTGCTGGTGACGATGACCTCGCCGCTGCGGGTCGTGGTCAGCCCGTGCGACGAGGGGAAGCTCCGGCGGGGCGGGGGAGGCGGCGGCGATTTGGAGGGTTTCTCGGTGCGGTACCGCGGCACCGTCAGCTCGTCTGGGCACAAAGGGGGCTCTGAGGGCACCGCCCGTCCCTGCCCCGCTCATCCAACCCCCTCCCCACCTCGGGCACCCCCAGCCCCACCTCTGGAGGCCACCCCCTCCTCCCCACCCCATACCTGAGCCCCGGCGGCCGTTGGGGTCCCCTTTGCCCCCCGATTTGGGGGCGTGCTGCGGCTTGGAGGGTTTGTGCTCGGGCGTGGAGGCGGCGCTGCCGCTGCCCGGGGTTGGTTTGTGCTTGGCGGCGAATTCCAGGTCGGGGATGGCCTTCATGAGCTCGGCCTGGGTCTCCTCCAGGAGCCGGTTGATGTCCTTGGCGCTGTACTGGGTGAGCGCTGCTCGTTTCTCCTCCCAGTCCCGCTCCGCTGCCTGTGGACACAGAGCCTGCTCCAGCCCCGGCCCTGGTGGGCACGGCGTGACCCCGCAGCCCCCGACACCCCCAGAGCCGCTGCGAGGAGCTGCAGGGGCGGATTTTTGCCCCCATCCCCAAATTTCATAGAATTTATGGAAACACTGGGTTGGAAGAGATCTTTAAGATCATGGACTCCAACCCAGCCTCAACAGCTCAACCAAACCCTGGCACCCAGTGCCAGCTCCAGCCTTGGTTAAACACCTCCAAGGGTGGTGACTCCACCACCTCCCTGGTCCCTGTGAATTCCCAAAATTCCCCCAAATTCCCAAAATTCACAGTCACAGAATGACTGGGTTGGAAGAGACCTTCAAGGTCATTGAATCCAACACAACCTCAGCCAAACCCTGACACCCAGTGCCACCTCCAGCCTTGGTTAAACACCTCCAGAGTTGGTGACTCCAACACCTTCTGGTCCCTGGGAATTCCCAAAATTCACACAAATTCACAGAATCACTGGGTTGGAAGAGACCTTCAGGGTCATTGAGTCCAAGCCGGCCCCAACATCTCAACCAAGCTCTGGCACCCAGTGCCACCTCCAGCCTTGGTTAAACACTTCCAGGGGTGGTGACTCCACCACCTCCCCGGTCCCTGTGAATTCCCAAAATTCCCCCAAATTCCCAAAATTCACAGTCACAGAATGACTGGGTTGGAAGAGACCTTCAGGGTCATTGAATCCAACACAACCTCAGCCAAACCCTGACACCCAGTGCCACCTCCAGCCTTGGTTAAACAATTCCAGGGCTGGTCACTCCATCACCTCCCTGGGCAGCCATTCCAGAACTTTATCACCTTTCTGTAAAAACCCTTTTCCTGACATCCAACTTAAATTTCCCTCGGTGCAGCTCGAGGCTGTGACCTCTGGTTCTGCCAGCGCTGCCCGGAGAAAGAGCCCAAGCCCAGCTGGCCACAGCCACCCTTCAGGAGCTGTGGGGAGTGCTGAGGTCACCCCTGAGTCTCCTTTTCTCCAGACAGAGCACCCCCAACTGTCGGTCTCAGAGAGAGAAACAGAAAATTTCTAACCGGGCAGAAGCCTGAGAAAGTGCTAAGAAGAATGTAAATAAGTTCTTTATCTTGTTCACATTTATAGTGAATTTCTACCACTGTGCGTCATGCACTGTACACCAATGGCGTGAGATGTTTTCACTTCAGGACCAATAGAATCGGTCTGCACGAAGCTCTGCATAAAAGAGTGATGCATTTTGAAATAAATCACAGTTCTATTCTCTCAGATGTATTTTGAAATCAATCAGAGTTCTATTCTCTCCTGAACAGAATAATTTCATTCCCATCCTGCTTCAACAGCATCACCCAACTCTCATCCAGCCCCGCCTCCGCTGCCAGGACTCCTCCAACGAGGAGCAGCAGTTCGGGCACCGCTCCACTTCCCATTTTCACCTTCCCAGACATTCTTGAGGAACCCCCACAAGATCTGAACGTCCCTGGGCCAGGCTCTCACCTCCACGGACACGGCTTTGTCTGCGCTCTTCTTGCCGGCGGTCTCCGGCGCCGTCTGCGTCTTGGCGGGCACCATCTCGGGGGCCCGGGAGGGGTTATTGCTCTTGCCCGCGTGGCTCTGGGGCTGGGGGGCGAAGCCGGGCACGCCCAGGGGCTCGGCGGTGCCCGTCAGGTGGTGCAGGCTGACCGGGGGGCTGGTGGGCATCTCCAGCTCCAGCGCTTTGCCGAAATCCGTCTCCGGGGCCACCTTCTTGGGCGACTGGCTCAGGCTGCTGGGCGAGCTCCACACGCCCTCGTCCACTTGTCTAGGGCAGAGCAGGGGTGCTGAGGGGCCGCGGGCACGGGGGTGGCAGAAAATCCTCATTTCGGGCACAAAATCCTCATTTGGGGCATGGGGGTGGCACAAAATCCTCATTTTGGGTGGGCACAAAATCCTCATTTTGGGTATGGGAGTGGCACAAAATCCTCATTTTGAGTGGGCACAAAATCCTCATTTCAGGCATGGGGGTGGCACAAAGTCTTCATTTCAGGTGCAGGGGGTGGCACAAAATCCTCATTTCGGGCACAGGGGGTGTGGACAGAATCCTCATTTCAGGCACAAGTGATGGCACAAAATCCTTATTTCGGGCACAAAATCCTCATTTTGGGCACAGGGGGTGGCACGAAATCCTCATTTCTGGTGGGCACAAAATCCTCATTTTGGGCATAGGGGGTGGGCACAAAATACTGATTTTGAGCACGGGGGGTGGCACAAAAATGAGTTTTGTATAAAAAGACGGATCCCACCCACACCTGGAAAGGACGGAGGGTATTTCCGGGGTCCTTTTTTTGGGGTCTTTCAGCCGAAAACCCATCATTTTCCGTGCTCCCCTCAGATGCCCTCCCTCGAGATGAGTTGTGGGGACAAAAGGGACAGTGAGGGAGTGGCCGTGCCCTCGGGGGGTGGCTCGGGGCTCACCTGCGGATCTGGGCCAGGGTGTCGGTGACGGTTCTGCAGCGCTTGAGGAGCCCGTCCAGGCGGTTGGGCTCCTCCTTGAGGAACTTGACAGCCTCCACCTCCACCCGCAGCACCACGCGCATCTTGCTCTGCAGGCTGGGGAACTGGGCTGCCGGGGATGGGGGGGACAGCGGTGTAAAAATAAATCTGGGAAGTCCTGGGAGACCCCAGGGGAAAACACAAATCCAGGAAGTCCTGGGGGATCCCAAATGAAAACAGAAATCTGGGAAATCCTGGAACATCCCAGGGGTTTGGGAGATCCTGGAGAATCCCAGGTGCAAAAACAAATCTGGGAAATCCTGGAGAATCCCAGGTGCAAACATAATTCCAGGAGATCCCAGAACATCCCCAGGCAGAGACGGAGCAGGGAAATTCCGGAAGGTTCCGTTTGCCCCCCCAGCCCCCTCCTCACCCTTGAGGTCTGTCAGGGTCTCCCCCAGCTGCTTGAGCACCGCGGCCTTTTCCTCCAGCTCCTGTGCCGGGATCAGCCGGGGGCTGTGCGCCAGATCCCGCTGGAACTTCTCCATGGCCTTCTCCAGGTCACTGCCAGGGCAGGGGAGGGCAGGGGGTCACTGGGGGGTCACTGGGGGTCAGTGAGGGTCAGTGAGGGTCAGTGAGGGTCACTGCTGTGTCAGGAGGGTGGAGAGCACCAATGGTGGCAGCGGGAGAGGGGACATTGGGATGGGGACCCCTCCTCACTGAGGGATGTGGTCACTGCATGGGGACCCCAAAATTCCCTAATTTGGGGACATAGTCACTGTGTGGGACCCCCAAATTCCCTAAATTGGGGACATGGTCACTGCATGGGAACCCCTCCTTCTTTAGGGACATGGGGACCCCCTGATTTGGGGACATGGTCACTGCATGGGGCCCCCTAATCCCTAATTTGGGGACATGGTCACTGCATGGGACTCCCAAATTCCCTGATTTGGGGACATGGTCACTGTGTGGGACCCCCAAATTCCCTAATTTGGGGACAGTGTCACTGCATGGGGACCCCACCCCTCGGGGCCAGCCCCGGGCAGTGCAGAGCTGCTCTCTGCCCCTGTCCCTGTCCCGGGGCCCCCAGAATGGGCTCACTTGAGCTGCTGGGTGATGAGCTCCTCCTCGTTGAGGTAGCGCAGCCGCTCCTCCTCCACCAAGCTGCGCTGGCGCTGCAGAGGGTCCTCGTGCTTGCGCATCGTGTCCGTCACCCGCACGCTGATCTCCGTCTCCGTCCGCCGCAGCAGCGACTTCACCGTCTCCTGGTTCTGCAGCTGCACGGGGAGGAGGGGGAGGATGAGGATGAGGAGGAAGGGTCAGGCTGGGAGAGACCCCCTCAAGATGGGAAATGGGTCCTGATGAGGGAGCAGCGCTGAGCTGGGCAGGGGGAGGGATCCCTGGGGTTGGATTTGGGAAAGAGCCCTGAGCTTGAATTTGGGAAAGATTCCTGAGCTGGGCACAGGGAGGGATCCCTGGGGTTGGATTTGGGAAAGATCCCTGAGCTGGGAGCAGGGAGGGATCCCTGGGGTTGGATTTGGGAAAGATCCCTGAGCTGGGAGCAGGAACGGATCCATGGGGTTGGATTTGGGAAAGACCCCTGAGCTGGGAGCAGGAAGGGATCCTCGAGCTTGAATTTGGGAAAGATCCGTGAGCTGGGAGGGATCCCTGAGCTTGAATTTGGGAAAGATCCGTGAGCTGGGCACAGGGATGGATCCCTGGGGTTGGATTTGGGAAAGATCCCTGAGCTGGGCATGGTGAAGGATCCCTGAGTTTGGACTTGGGAAGGATCTCTGAGCTCACAATGGTGAAAGATCCCTGAGCAGATTTTGGGAAAAGATCCCTGAACTTGGATTTGAGAAGGATCTCTGAGTTTGGGTTCAAGAAGGATCCCTGAGCTTGGGTTTGGGAAGGATCCCTAATCTTGGATTCAGGAGGGATCCTCAAGCTTGCCTGTGGGAAGGATCCCCGAGCTCAGCTCCAGAACAGATCCCTGATCTCTCCCACACCAACCCCAGTGCACAAAGGGGATTTTCCCATCCTAACCCAGCAAGAGCTGGCTCAGATTCGGGGTCCCCCCTCCCCGGGCGCCCACCTGCAGCTTCTTGAGCTGCTGCAGCTGGTTGCGGAGGTCGCTGGCGTTCTGCTGCAGGTCGTGCAGGTGCAGCTGCATGTGCAGGCGGGTGATGGCCGTGGGCTGCCCCGCCGGGGTGCTGGTGGCCGAGGGCGGTGGCGGCGCGGGCACCGGGGTGCCCATGCCGCTGCGGCTGGTGGCTGAGGGGGGCAAGCAGAGTTTGCTGAGGGGTTTTGGTGCCCGTTTCTTTTCTTTCCCCACCCAATCCTTCAGCTCTGGTGATCCCCAAAATTCCCCTGTCCGTGCTAAGCCCAACCCAGGGCAGCGTGGGGGGGTCCCGCTGGTGCTGTAGGATTTTAGCTTTTATATTTTTCAAATTCTCTGTTGCTTCAGGGAATAATTCTAAAACTCTGTGGCCTGTCAGCTGCTGCTCTCCTGTTTTATTCAGACAAAACAATTCCTTTCCAGGCCTGTAACTGAAGGACGCCTCACTACTTCAAAAAATATTTAAAAAAGTGAATTGGATTGGATGCAACCAAACTGGGAGTAAATGACTTCATTGCCTGAAGCTGTAATTGGAGGATTAACCCCAATTACATCAATTAATATCAATTAATTGATACGCAAATGGTCCAAACTTATAATTGTCTGAAAACCTCATGGCCATCATCCATTTTGGGTGTAGCCCCTTGGGGAATCTTCATATGTACCCTGAGGCCCTTAAATTAAATAGATCCATTTTTATTCTCTTAATTCTGGTTTTAGGTAAGCCCAAAGAAGGCACCACCAGCACATGGGGGGTCCTGCAGGGCCAGGGGTCACTCACACGCTGATGGGGGGGTCCCGCCGTTGGTGGCTTCGGTCTTCTCACTGAAACCAAAGAGAGGAGGGGGCTGAGTGAGGGCCAGGCATGGTTTGTGTCCCCTGGGAGGGGGACAAACCCCCCAGGAGGGACATCCCGGCCCCCGGGGTCCCAGAGCTGCCCTCACCTGGGGGTCTCGGCCTCGGAGCCGCGGAGCAGCGCGCTCTGCACCAGCCCCGTCAGGCTGGCGATCTGCTTCTCCATGGCCTCCATCCGCTCCCTGCGCCGGGAAAGGGACAGGGACGGGTCACCGGCTGCATCTGCCACCTCGGGCCTGTCCTGGCCCTGCTCACGGCCCGTCCCTGCCGCCCCCAGAGCTGGGGACACGGCTGTCACTGGGCTGTCACTGTGCTCCTCATTCCCTCCCCGTGCTCGCATCCAGCCCGATTCCCCACAGCGGTGGGGATGGGGCAGCGCCTTCCTCTGCTCCTCCTCCTCCTCCTCTCCATCTGCTCCTCTTCCTCCTCCAGTGGATACAAAACCCCAACTGCACCGGGGATCCCAGGCGCAAACACGCAAATCCAAAGGCAGCGGAAAACCTGGATCATCCCAGGTGAAAACAAATCCAGGAGAACCTGGAGCATCCCAGGTGCAAGCACAAATCCAGAAAAATCAGGAGCATCCCAGGTGCAAACACAAATCCAGAAAAATCTGGAGCATCTCAGGTGAAAATACAATTCTAGGAAAACCTGGCGCATTCCAGGTGAAAATACAACCTGGAGCATCCCAGGTGCAAAACACCAATCCATGAAATCCTGGATCATCCCAGGTGCAAACACAATTCCAGGAGAACCTGGAGCATCTCAGGTGAAAATACAACCAGGAACATCCCAGGTGCAAACACATCCTGGATCATCCAAGGTGCAAACACAAATCCAGAAGAACCTGGATCATCCCAGGTGCAAACACAACCTGGAAGACCCCAGGACGAGCACACCACCCCTCCTCTCACCTGGTCTCCGTGTCCTTGGCCGGTCCGGGCGATCCGAATCCCGAGAGTGGCCGCTCTCCAGGGCCGGGGAACATCTCGGGGGGCCCGGACGAGCTGGGGTTGCGCGTTTTGCCCACGGGGCTGTCCATGAAGACGGAGGAGCAGGAATCCTTGCGGAAGGACTGCCGGACAGGCGAGGAGCGGCTCGGCGGGCCCGAGTAGGGGCTGTGCGGGCTCTGCCCGGGCTCCACCATCTTCTGTGGGGACGAGGGCGGCATGCGGAAGCCCAGCCCGGGGCCGTACGTGTCGCTGTAGATGGGCGCGTTGGGCTTGTACAAACTGTCCTCCAGCTCCGTCTGCAGCGCGGCCGCCGAGTAGGTGCTGAGTGACCGCACTGACCCCCGCTTGTAGAGCCCCCCCGAGTAGCCGAAGGGGTCCCCCATGCCTGCCAGCGACTGCGTGGAGGTGATGCTGAGCCGCCCCTCGTGCACCATCCCGTAGGGATCGGCGTAGAGCCCCTCGTTCTTCACCAGCACCACGTTCTTGCCCGCCAGGTCCTCGTCCGGCTTGACGTCGCGGCGTTCCAGGATGGCGCTGGGGCTGGGGGACACGCCCTGGGCCGGGGGCAGGCTGGACAGGCGCTCGCCGTGGTGGACGGGGCTGCCGGCGTACGAGGGCGGGCGGCCGCCGCTGTAGGACATGCGGGAGCGGGACGGTGACGAGGACTGGAGCACGGGCGGAGGGGAGCCGGAGGCCAGGTGGGAGGCCGGGGAGATGTTGTTGAGCCGGCGGGTGGGAGAGGATTCCCGGGATGTGTAGACCATGTCTCGCTGTGGGAATGGGGTGGGAGGGTCAGCACGGAGTGAGCCTCGCCCTGCCAGGCCCTCCACCTCACCAAGAATCAAACCCTTGGCAAAACCTCTGCAAATCCTTGGTAAAACCTTCCCTTGGAGAACAAACCCTGTGAGGAACGGCTGAGGGAGCTGGGGGTGCTCAGGCTGGAGAAAAGGAGACTCAGGGGTGACCTCAGCACTCCCCACAGCTCCTGAAGGGTGGCTGTGGCCAGCTGGGCTTGGGCTCTTTCTCCGGGCAGCGCTGGCAGAACCAGAGGTCACAGCCTCAAGCTGCACCGAGGGAAATTTAAGTTGGATGTCATGAAAAGGGTTTTTACAGAAAGGTGATAAAGTTTTGGAATGGCCCAGGGAGGTGGTGGAGTCACCACCCCCGGAAGTGTTTAACCAAGGCTGGAGGTGGCACTGGATGCCAGAGCTTGGCTGAGGTGTTGGGGCTGGGTAGGACTCAATGACCTTGAAGGTCTCTTCCAACCCTGTGATTCTATGATTCTGTAGTTCAGTGATTGTAATTCTGTAATTCTGGAATTCTGTAATTCTGGAATTCTGTAATTCTGGAATTCTGTGAATTCTGTGATTGTGATTCTATGATTCTATCATTCAGTGATTCAGTTATTCAGTAATTCAGTGATTGTGATTCCGTGACTCTGTGATTGTGATTCAGTAATTCAGTGATTTTGTGATTCTGTGATTCTGTGATTCCATGATTCAGTAATTCTGTGATTCCCAGAAAGCAGCAGGGTGATTTTCCTAATAAATTATCCTGATGATTTAATTCCCTAAAACCCACATTTACAACCCCCTGTCAGCCCCCACCCAACACTGGCAGCAGGCAGGATGAATCCCACCCCCACACAATTCCCAATTCCCAATTTCTGCCACTGCTCCCACCCCACCAGGCCCCGCCACACCCCCGGGCTGTCCCCGTGTCCCCTCTCACCCTCAGGTCGCCGTTGGTGATGTGTGAGGCTGGGAACGAGGCGTAGAGCGGCTCTTTCCGGTAGATTTTAATGATGCTTCTGTCCTGGATGTCTCTGGAAGCGGAGGCAGAGCCTGAACACCCAGGAGAGACCCCCAAAACCCCAAAGCTGCACCCACCACCCCTTTTTGTTCTTCATTCATGTCCTGGGTTGTAGGGTATGGGTGTATTCTATTAATCTTTTAGAGGTGGGGCCGTTATTTTCTGTTAATTGCGCAGTTCTCTTCTGTTAATTGGGCAGGGGTTTTTTTTCTTTTTATCTCTTCCACAGCCAATCCTCCGTCCAGGAGATCTCTTTTCTTAATGGTCCATTAATTATTAATTAACTTCTGTCCACGGTCCAGCGAGTGTCCCTGCATGGCTGATAAAATTCCATCATCCCATTGGGAGAAGCCAAGAATTCCTACTTGGATACAATCTGGAGTTTGGAATATCACAGAAACCTTTTCCCAGAAAAAGCCCAGGCCCATCTCCCCCAGCCCTGGAGCTCCAGAGGAAAATTCCCTCCTTGTGCAGGATCCTGCTCCAGCAGGAGCACAGCTGGCACTGCAGGAGGGCTGAGCCACCATGGGATGGGACCAAGATAAATTTTAATTTTCCTAGTAAAGAACTGTTATTCCTACTCCCATATCTTTGCCTGAGAACCTTCTAATTTTGAAATTATAACAATTTGGAGAGAGGGAATTTTCATTACAAGGAAAACTTCTGCCTTTCTTAGCGGACACCTGAATTTTCAAACCAAGCCAATTTTAAATTTTCTTAGCAAAGAACTGTTATTCCTCCTCCCATATCTTTGCCCAAGAACCTTTTAATTTTAAAATTATAATAATTTGGAGGAAGGGGTTTACATTTTCCATTTCAAGGAAAACTCCTGTCTTCCTTAGAGGACATCTTAATTTTCAAACCAAAACAAATTTTAAGTTTTCTATTAAAGAACTGTTTTGCCTACTCCCATAACTTCGCCTGAAAACCTTTTAATTTTAAAATTGCAATGATTTGGAAGGAGGGGATTTTCCATTTTCCATTTCAAGGGAAACTCCTGATTTCCTTAGCGGCCACCTGCCTTTCCAAACCAATCCAACCCCACAGATTTCCCGTCTCGTGACGGATTTAAAAGACGGAAAACCAGCGTGGGGTGGGATTTGATCCCTCCCCGCTCACCGGACATCCTCCAGCTCGTAGAAGACGTTTCGTGACTCGTCCTTGATGAGGATGGCGGTGTTGGGGGACTTGAGCATGCCCATGGTGAGCTTCTGCGGGAACATGTGCACGATGAGGGCGTGCAGGGTGTCCATGCTGCTGATCTCGTGCGTGATGTGCACCCGCCTGGTCTCGTCCCCAAACTGCAGGAACAGCACCCCTGGGAGCACAAGGGGGGGCACGCGGCGGTCAGCCGGGACCGGGCCCCTTCCCCGCGGAGGTGACGGGGGCTTCCCAGCCAAAAAAAAATAAAAAGGGTTTTGGGGGAGATCTGGCCACCCAAAAGGCCCTGGTGAAGTTTTGGGGCACCCAAAAAAAGGTTTTGGGACTCTGGCCACCCAAAAGGCCCTGGTGGAGTTTTGGGGCATCCAAAAAAAGGTTTCGGGGAGCTCTGGCCACCCAGTCTCACCTTGCTAAAGGTGGAAGGGTTTGGGGCACCCAAAAAAAGGTTTTGGGGAGATCTGGGCAGCCAACAGGGCCCTGGTGGGGTTTTGGAGCAGTCAAAAAAAGGTTTTTGGGGAGCTTTGGCCACCCAACAGTGCCCTGGTGAAGGTAGGTGGAGTGTTGGGGCACCCAAAAAATGGTTTCGGGGCTCTGGCCACCCACCAGGGCCCTGGTGGGGTTTTGGAGCACCCAGAAAAAGGTTTGGGAAGATCTGACTATCCAACAGTGCCCTGCTGAAGGTAGATGCTTTTGGGGCACTCAAAAAAAGGTTTTTTGGGGAGCTCCACCCCAACATCCACTGTGGAGATTTTGGGACCTCCGGGGGTACCTGGGGAGCGCAGCTTGGTCTGGAATTTTGGGTGGATGGAGACCAACCCCACCATCCACTGTGAGATTTTTGGGACCTCTGGAGGTACCTGGGGATCGAAGCTTGGTCTGGCTGGCCGAGCGGGACAGGGGCAGGCTCTGCCGGAACCGGTTCATCCTGTTGAAGGCCAGCGGCAGCTCCGCCTCCGACATGGTCTCCAGGGATTCGGCCGAGGCGAAGGAGAGCTTGGCTTGGTCGGCCAGGCCAGGCTGGGAGCCCTGGGAGTGCCGGGAGCTCCTGGTCTGCAACGGGACAGGGGACAGGGACAGGTCAGGGGGGACAGGGAGGGGTGGCCCAGCACCCCTTGGGGGGGAGGTTGTTCCTGATTTTCCTCGTGCCGGGATGGAGAGGTTGGTGTGGGTGATGGGATCGTGGAATGTCCCAGGATTGAGGGAGACACGGAGGTCAGTGAGTGAAACCTCTGGGAGAACCCCAAAAATCCCTCCCTGTGCCTGAGGGTGGTGATGGGTCCCTTCTGGGGGGCTCCATCCCAAATCCAGGGGACTCTATCCCAAATCCAGGGGCTTCATCCCAATTCCAAGCATCCTCCACCCCAATTCCAAGGATGCTCTACTAATATCCACAAATATCCAGAAATATCCACAAATATCCACAAATATCTGAAAAATATCTGAAAAATATCCACAAATATCTGCAAATATCTGCAAATATCCAACAAATATCCAACAAATATCCCCAAATATCTGCAAATATCCACAAATATCCGCAAATATCCACAGATATCCAACAAATATCTCCAGATACCCCAAATATCCACAAATATCTGCAAATATCTGACAAATATCCACAAATTTTTACAGATATCTGCAAATAACCACAAATGTCCCCAAATATCCAACAAATACCCCCAAATACCCCCAAATAACCACAAATATCCCAAATATCTCCAGATATCCCCAAATAGTCACAAATATCTGCAAATATCTACAAAAACACCCACAAATAACTGCAAATATCCCCAAATGTTCACAAATATCCCCAGACATCCACAAATATCCACAGATATCCCAAAATATCTACAACAATCCACAAATATCCCCAGATATCCACAAATATTCACAGATATTCCCAAATAGCCAACAAATATCCACAAATACCTCCAGATATCAGCAAATAATCACAAATATCCACAAATATCTACAAATATCCCCAAACATTCACAGATAACCCCAAATATCCCCAAATAACCACAAATATCCCCAAATTTGTGGCCACCCCCAGTACTGCTGATCAATAAAAACCCCCAAAATCCGAGCCTGGATTTTCCAGGCACTTGTTGAAGGTTGGCAAATCCAGCAGAGGGAACCAACACCTCCCTGAGTGTGGAAAAGGGACAACAAAAACTATTTAAAGATGGGAAAAAAAGGGAAAAAATAAAGCAATCAATATGAAACGATAACAGCCATCATCACCATTTAAACAAGACATTAATTGGGAGATTTAATTAATCCTGAAATGTTTAATTGCTGGGGAATTGCTGGGTTGTTGTTGTTGGAGCACAAAGAGCCCTGGCAGAGCCTGCTGGGCATGGAGTAAAACATTTCTCGCTGCCATCCCTCGGCACGCAGCTCTGAGCCCTCGTGGGGGTGGTTTTGGGGTGAGGAAAGGGGATTTTAGGGCTCCCCATCCTCAAGGTTGTAGGTTTTGGGGACCTTGATATGGGTTTGGGGTGATTCCAGCTCGGAGTGGATCCATAGGGGAGGGCAGGGATGTGGGGCCCAGGGTTGCTCCCGTTCTCTGGGATCTCATCCTGCCCTAAATCCAACCCTAAATCCAACCCCAAATCCATCCCTGCCCTGTCCCAACACCCCCTGTCCCTGTCCCGTTCCCGTTCCCTGGGATCTCATCCTGCCCTAAACCCATCCCTAAATCCATCCCTAAATCCATTCCTTCTCCTCCCCACTCCCCAAATCCCCCAATCCCAGTGCCCTGGTGTCCCCAACACCCCGGGGGTGACCCTGCCCTGTCCAAGCACTTCCTGCCCTGTTCCCGTTCTCTGGGATCTCTTCCTGCCCCAAATCCATCCCTAAATCCAACCCTAAATCCATCCCTGCCCTGTCCCAACACCCCCTGTTCCTGTCCCGTTCTCTGGGATCTCATCCTGCCCTAAATCCATCCCTAAATCCAACCCCAAATCCATCCCTGCCCTGTCCCAACACCCCCTGTCCCTGTCCCGTTCCCATTTTCTGGGATCTCACCCTGCCCTAAATCCACCCTTTCTCCTCCCGACCCCAAATCCCCCAATCCCAGTGCCCTGGTGTCCCCAGCACCCCTGGGGTGACTCTGCCCTGTCCCAACACCCCCTGCCCCTGTCCTTTTCCCATTCCCTGCCCTAAATCCATCCCTAAATCCATCCCTTCCCTTCCCCACCCCCAGTCCCAGCGCCCTGGTGTCCCCAACACCCCGGGGGTGACAGCGACACTTTCCCGGTCCCAGCCGAGCCCATCCCCCTCCCGCAGCTGCCCCCGGGCACCGGAGCTTCCCCGCTGTGGATAATTTATGGAATCAGCCAAAGAACAAAACAAAAAACCCCAAACAAAGGCAGGCGAGATGGGATTAATGGGATTTTAGCCCGGAAGGGACCGTTCTGCCCCGGTGCCCTGCACCATGCGCTGTCCCCAACCCCCAAAAATGTCACCAACCCCCCAAAAATGTCACCGCTGTCCCCAGCCCCCAAAAATGTCACCGGCAGCGGGGCAGAGCCACCCCAGCACCCCTTCCCTGAACTCCGGGCACCCCTGTGGGCACGGGACTGTCCCAGATGGGCACAGAGCCCCCCAAGATGGGCACAGAGCCCCACAGATGGGCACAGAGCCCCACAGATGGGCACAGAGCCCTCACAGACAGGCACAAAACCCCCAAAGATGGGCACAGAGCCCCCCAGGTGGGCACAGAGCCCCACAGATGGGCACAGAACCCCTCCAGATGGGCACAGAAACATCCAAGATGGGCACAGAGCCCCACAGATGGGCACAGAGCCCCACAGATGGGTACAGAGCCTCACAGATGGGCACAAAACCCCCAAGATGGGCACAGAACCCTCCCAGATGGGCATGAGGCAGTCCCCCCCATTTTTCAGTCCTGCCCCTCCTTTTAACCACACCCAAACCCTCTCCAGGGCTTTCTGCATCCCAAAATTCCCCTAAAAAAACCCAAAAAGCCTCTTCTCCCCCATTTCTCAATCCTGCCTCTCAAGGGACCCTTTTATCAACACCCAAAACCCTCTCCAGGAGATTCTGCATCCTAAAATTCCCCTCAGAAAAGCCCAAATCCTTTTATCCACACTGAGACTCCTCCCCAGGAGCTTCTGCATCCCAAAATTCCCTCAAAAAACCCCAAAAAGCCTCATCCCCCCCATTTCTCAATCCTGCCCCTCAAGGGACCCTTTTACCAACACCCAAACCCTCCTCAGGGGCTTCTGCATCCCAAAGTTTCCCTAAAAAACCCCAAAAAGCCTCGTCTCCCCCATTTCTCAGTCCTGCCCTTCCTTTTATCCACACCCAGACCCTCCTCAGGGGTTTCTGCATCCCAAAATTCCCCTAAAAAACCCCAAAAAGCCACCGAGATCATCCCTGCAGGACCTGATCCAACGCGGGTGGTGGCAGGGAAGGGAGGGGACATCCTCCTCCTGCTCCTGTCCCCAGCTGGGAAATTTCCAAATTTCCCAGCCCCAAAGCCGCAATCCCGGAGCTGAATCCTGGAATTCCCGGGAATTCCAGCGGGGAAGGCTCGGGAAGGGAGCGAGGGAGGGAGGGAGGGAGGGAGGAAGAGCAGCCACAACAAAAACCCGCTCAAGGTCACGGCACGGGAAAAATGTGGGAATCTGGGAGCAGAGGGGGCTGGGCAGAGGGCACCAAACTGGGATGGAAAGGTTCCAAACTGGGATGGAAAAGTTCCAAACTGGGATGGAACCCAACCCCCGGGAGCTTCCCGAGCCGAGGGAATTCCGCTGGAGCAAAGCTTGGATCGCTGGCAGTGCCCTCGGGGTGATGGGCACTGCCCATCCCAAAAAACAAAAAAAACCCCTCTGGGGAAGGCAGGGGGAAAATCCAAAATTCCAGCGGGATCAGGAGCATCCCCAGAGATTCTGGAGAAGGAAATAGGAAAATAAATCCTCAGTTCCAGCAGGGTCAGGAGCACCCCCAGAACCTCTGGAGAAGGAAATGGGGAAAATTCCCAATTCCAGCAGGGTCAGGAGCACCCCCAGAACCTCTGGAGAAGGAAATGGGGAAAATTCCCAATTCTAGCAGGGTTCCCTTAGACCAGGCTTAAAACTGCCGAGACCAGCCCCAAACCCCCAAGATCAGCCCCAAAAGACCCTGGACAAGCCCCCAGACCCGAGACAAGCCCCAAAACCACCAACAACAGCCCCAAAACCCCCGAGACCAGCCCCAAAACCGCCAAGACAAGCCCCAAAATCACTGAGACCAGCCCCAAAATCACCAAGACCACCCCCAAAATCACCGAGACTACCCCCAAAACCGCTGAAACCAGCCCCAAAAGATCCTAGACAAGCCCCTAAACCTGAGACAAGGCTCAAAACCCCTGAGACCAGCCCCAAAACTGCCAAGACCAGCCCCAAAACCCTTGAGACCAGCCCCAAATCAGACCTGGGATGGCCAAGCCCTCGCTGTCCCCGAGCTCGGCCGTCCGTCCCCTCCGGTCACCGGGAAGAGCCTCCCGGGCCGGGCTGGGCAGCTCCGGGGTGGGGGTCGCGCCCTCCAGGAGCCCCCAGATCCCCCAAAATCGCTCCCCATGGGCACCCAGGGTCCTCCAGAGCACGGCCGGGCATGGCCCTGGCAGGTCCTGGAGGGTCCTGGTGGGTCCTGGAGGGTCCTGGAGGGTCCTGGCAGGACCCGGCAGCACCTTGCCCGCTGCTGCCCGTCTGCAGCTCCTGGGCAGGATGGGGATAAAGGCGAGGGAGGGACGTGAGGTCTGAAATCCCTGGCAAACAGCTGGCACGGCTGGCACGGCCGTTATTTACCGAGGCTCCGGCCCCTGGTTGGACACGGATCGGGATTAATCCCGGCTGATCCCCCTCTCATTGTTAATCCCGGTGTTCCGCCCGGATCCCATCTGGTGTGAGCCCTGCGGTGGGATGGGATCCGGGGGGTGGGATCTGTGGGGTGGGATTCATGGGGTGGGGTGGGATCCATGCGATGGGATCCATGGGGTGGGATCGGTGGGATGGGATCCATGGAGTGGGATGGGATGGGATCCATGGGGTGGGGTGGGATGGGATCCATGGGATCCATAGGATTGGATCCATTGGATGGGATCCATGGGGTGAGATGGGATCCATGGGGTGGAGTGAGATCCATGGGAAGGAATCAATGGGGTAGGATGGGATCCATAGGGTGGGATCCATGGGGTGGGATCTGTTGGGTGGGATCCATGAGATAAGATGGCATCCATGGGGTGGGATCAATGGGATGGGATCCATGGGAAGGAATCCATGGGGTGGGGTGGGATCCATGGGGTAGGATGGAATCCATGGGGTGCAATGGGATCCATGGGAAGGGATCAGTGGGATGAGATCCATGGGAAGGAATCCAGGGGATGGGATGGGATCCATGAGGCAGAATGGGATCCATAGGGTGGGGTGGGATCCATGGGAAGGGTTCCACAGGGTGGGATGGGATCCATTGGGTGGGGATCCATGGGGTAGGATCTGTGGGATGGGATCCATGAGGTGAGATGGGATCCATGGGGTGGGATCAATGGGATGGGATCCATGGGCTGAGATCCATGGGAAGGAATCCAGGGGATGGGATGGGATCCATGGGGTGGGATGGGATGGGATGCATGGGATCCATAGGATCGGATCCATGAGATGGGATCCATGGGGTGGGATGGGATCCATGGTGTAGGATCCATGCTAACCAGCATTCCCGACTGGAATGGAACATTCCTGACCAGAATCCAGAATTTCCAACGGGAATGGAACATCCCTGACCAGAATCCAGAATTCCCAACTGGAATAGAACATCCCTGACCAAAAATCAGAATTCCCAACAGGAATAGAACATCCCTGACCAAAAATCAGAATTCCCAACTGGAATAGAACATCCCTGACCAGAATCCAGAATTCCCAAGCGGAATTCAACCTCCCAAGCCGGGGCATCCTCCCCCAGGTTCCAGTTGAATCCCCGTGCCCGACATTCCCAGCTGGAGCCCAACCCCTCTGCTCCGCGTTTTCCCTCAGCGATGGATTCCAGCAGGAAGGAATTCCAACAGCCAGGAGATGCCCAGCTGGGAAGAAAAGGAGGGAAAATCAGAGGGAATTTGGGGTAGAAATGGGAGAAATGAGAGGCCTGGGGTGCTCTGAGCAACATCCAAAGGGTTTTGGGAGGGAAAATCAGAGAAAATTTGGGGTAGAAATGGATGAAATGAGAAGCCCAGGGTGTTCCAAGCACCATCCAAAGGGTTTTTCCTGGAGTTTTCCCCATCCAAGGGGTCGGGACCTCCCCAGCCCCCTCCCCCCGCCCCAAATTAAAATCATTCCCGGCCGGCAGCAATAACTCATCCCGCCCCTAATGCCGAACATTTTGTCAGGATTATCCCGATTATACCGGGATTAATCCCGATCTCAACGTTAACAGGATTAGTTCAAATCGGATCAGGGATTTTAAACCCCGAACTCAAGGAAGGAGCCGTCCCCTCCCGGTGTGAACGGGAATCCCGATCCCGGAAATTCCGGGATGGGCATTCCCAAATCCTGATCCCAATCCCAGAAACTCTGGGATGGGCATTCCCAAAGTCCGATCCAAGAAATTCTGGGATGGGGCATTCCCAAATCCTGATCCCAGTCCCAGAAACTCTGGGATGTACATTCCCAAACCTCAATCCTGATCCCAGAAACTCCAGTATGGGGCATTTCCCATCCTTTTCCATCCTCTTCCATCCTTTTTCCATCATTTTCCCATGATTTTCCCATACTTTTCCATGCTTTTCCCATCCTTCCCCATCTTTTTTCCATCCTTTCCCCATCCTTTTTCCATCATTTTCCCATCCTTTTCCTTTTCCACCCAAAAAATCCCCTCTCACCACCTCCAGCTTCAGCTGAGCAGGGACCAAACAACTTCAGCTTGGGAATTCTCATCCCAAAAAATAAAATTTTAAAAATCCCACCCCTTTGCCCCCTTTCCAGAGCCACATCCACATGCACTTCCAAGAGAAAGCCGGAAAAATCCAAAATACTGACCTTAAAGCTCCAGTAGTTGGGTTGCTAACAACAAAAAAAGAGAAAAAACAGAAAAAATAAAATAAACCAGAAGAAAGCACAAACACAAAAACAAAAAAAAAAATATCATTAAGATTCTTGGTTTGATTTTTGGTGGTTTTTTTCCCCTTTTCCCTTTGGTTTTTCTCACTTTTAGAAGCTCCGAGCTCGGATTTAAATCCCGGCCCTCCCAAAGTGCCGCTGGAATTTTGGGGAGCGAGGGAAGGGGTGAGGATGGAAGGAAATTGGGGTGAAAAAGGAGGGAAAAGGGGGTGGCGCTGGGAGTCACAATAATGTTAATTTTTCCAGGGGATTTTCCAAGAATTCCTGCCCCGCTGCCACCGCCATCACGGCCAGCGGCTCCCAAAATTCCCAATCCCGGGAATGGCACCGGAACCTTCTCCCGAGGCCGAGGCTGTGGAAAGTTCTGGAAGAGCTTGGCTGGGAAGGGGCTTGGGAATTCTTTGAGTTCCAATGGGATCCCAAAATTCCAGCCCCATCCAAGCCCCAGCAGGAGGAAAAGTGGATCCGGGGATGAAGAGTGGGATTTAGGGATGAGAAATGGGATTTAGGGATGAGGAGTGGGATTTAGGGATGAGAAATGGGATTTAGGGATGAGGAGTGGGATTTAGGGACAAATAGTGGGATTTAGGGACAAGGAATAAAGAATGGGATCCAAGGGTGGATCCAGGGATGAGGAGAGGGATTTAGGGATGAGGAGTGGGATCAAGGGATGAGGAGTCGATCCAAGGGTGGAATCTTAAAATATTTTTTATACTTCAAAATATTTAAAATATTTTTTAAAACCTTTAAATATTTTAAAATATTTTTAAACCTTTAAATATTTTTAATACTTTCAAATGCCTCAAATATTTTTTAAAACCTTTAAATATTTCTAACGCTTTAAATATTTGCCCATTTGTGGCCAGCGCCAGGCGGGTTTTGGCCACCAGCCCCTGGCACTTTGTGAGCTCCATCTGTCCCCGCTGCCACCTCCAATGTCCCCAAATTCAGGGTGGCTTGGGCACGACCAGGTCCCTCAGGGTTTAATTTTTATATTTTTGCCAATTTTGTGCTGATTTATGGCGTGGGGTTAGCATATTATGGGATGGTGAGCTCTGTTCACAGAGCAGAGACAAAACAATCCCTGCTCCGGCTGGGACCAAGGAGAAATGATCCAAATCTCTGCCCCAGGAGCACAAACAGCGCGGGGTGGAGAGACAAAAACAAGAACCGTGGGGCTGCACGGGCTAAAAGTGGAATTGGGCAATTAACTCCAATATGCAAATGGAGCAGAACTTAAAAAAGTGAGAGACCCCGTGACCTTGTCCATTTTTGTGACCACGCGGGTCCATTTTGTGACCATTTTGTGACCATTTGGGTCCATTTTGAGTTCATTTTGGGTCCAGTTTGGGTCCATCTTGAATCCATTTTGCGACCATTTGGGTCCATTTTGGGTTTATTTTGTGACCATTTTGGTTCATTTTGTGATCATTTTGGCTCCATTTTGGGTTCATTTTGGTCCATTTTGGTTCCATTTTGTGACCATTTGGGTCCACTTTGGGTCAGTTTTGTGACCATTTTGGTTTCTTTTGGGTTCATTTTGTGACCATTTTGTGACCATTTGTGTCCATTTTGGGACCATTCTGTGACCATTTTGGTTCCATTTTGAACCATTTTGGTTCATTTTGGGTGCAGCCCTGGCTGGGCTCTGGCGCTGCCAAAGCTGCCTGGCCTTGGAGAGATTGGCCAGGCAGAATCAGAGAATAAATTTATTTAAAAGATCTCAGTGGAGAGATTGGCCAGGCAGTTCCAGAGCCAAAGGGGAATTCATTAAAAGATCTCCTCAGTGGATCCACCTTGGGCAGCGCCAGAGCTCAGCCAGGGCTGTACCCAAAATGAACCAAAATGGTCACAAAATGGTCACAAAATAAACCCAAAATGGACACAAATGGTCCCAAAATGGACACAAAAATGGACCCAAATGGTCACAAAATGGACACAAGAATGAACCCAAATGGTCACAAAATGGAACCATAATGGTCACAAAAATGGACCCAAATGGTCCCAAAATGGTCACAAAATGGTCACAAAATGGACCCGAATGGTCACAGAAATGGATGAGGTCAGAGGGTCTCTCACTTTGATAATTTCTCCTTCATTTGCATATTGGAGATAATTGTTCAATCCCACTTTTATCCCGTGCAGCCCTACGGTTCTTGTTTTTCTCTCTCCAGCCCGCGCTGTTTGTGCTCCTGGGGCAGAGATTTGGATCGTTTCTCCTTGGTCCCAGCCGGGGCAGGAATTGTTTTGTCTCTGCTCTGTGAACAGAGCTCACCATCCCATAATACGAAGCCCATACCCACACACTAAATCAGCACAAAATGTGAAAAAACATAAAAACTAAAACTGAAGCATCACCTTCCAGCCCCTTCAAAGCTGGATTTGCCCGAAGAGGAGAGGGCAGAACTGGAATTAACATTTCCAGCTGGGATTAACATTTCGCTGCCTCTTCAAAAGCATCAAAGGGAGATAAAGGGCCGGGAGAGGATTGGAAGCGACAGCCCCGTTCCGAGCCATAAAGCAGGCGGCTCCTCGCAGCAGCAGCCCTGCAAAAGGTGCGGGGAATTACAGAGGCTGTGATTTATAATTACAATGAGAGTCATGTCCGTGCTGCTGCCAAAAGAGGGAAGAACCAGGAGCTCAGGGTCCCCGAAGCGCGGGGAGGAGGGGGGAGATGCTGCCCTGAGCCCTCCGAGGGATGGGCACACACGGGCAAAAAAAGCAAAGTTGGAGTGAAGTAATTGGGAATATTTTGGGAGTTAAGGAAAGAAATGAAATGGTTGTGGTTGTTTGTCCCAGGAGGAGACGGGAGGCAAATGAAATCCAAGTGAGTCGGGGTCACCAAAAATAAGAGAAATGAAATTCAAGTGAGTCGGGGTCCCCCAAGGCAAAAGAAATGAAATCCAAGTGAGTTGGGGTGTTCAAAGGTAAATAAAATGAAATCCAAGTGAGTTGGGGTCCTCGAAGATAAGAGAAATGAAATCCAGGGGATTTGGGGTCCTCAAAGATAAAAGAAAGGAAATCCAAGTGAGATCAGGGTCCTCAAAGATAAAAGAAAGGAAATCCAAGTGAGTCGGGGTCACCAAAGGTAAGAGAAATGAAATCCAAGTGAGATCAGGGTCCTCAAAGGTAAAAGAAATGAAATCCAAGTGAGTTGGGGTCTTCAAAAGTAAAAGAAATGAAATCCAAGTGAGTTGGGGTCCCCAAAAGTAAAAGAAATTAAATCCAAGTGAGTTGGGGTACTCAAAGGTAAATAAAATGAAATCCAAGTGAGTTTGGGTCCTCAAAGTTCAGAGAAATGAAATCCACGTGAGATCAAGGTCACCAAAGGTAAAAGAAATGAAATCCGAGTGAGTTGGGGTCCTCAAAGGTAAATAAAATGAAATCCAGGTGAGCTCAGGGTCCCCGAAGCGCGGGGAGGAGGGGGAGATGCTGCCCTGAGCCCTCCGAGGGATGGGCACACACGAGGCAGGAAAGCAAGGCTGGAGTGAAGTAATCGGGAATTAAATTTGGGAAGAAAAAAAAATAAACGTTTTGGGAGTTAAGTTTGGAAAAAAATAAATACAAAGAAAAAGAAAAAAAAGAGAAAATAATGAAATGGTTGTGGCTGTCCCAGGAGCAGACGGGAGGTAAATGAAATGAAATCCAAGTGAGTCAGCGCCGTGACCAAGGGGGAGTTCCCCTGAATGGCAATTAAATCCCGAATTTGTGGCTGATTAACGAGGCACCAGCGTGTCCCCCTCGGAAGGGCAGCAGCGGCAGCCGCCGCCCCGGCCCGCTGCGCTCCGAGGGAGGAAGGACAGAGGCAACTTCATTAATTAACTCATTTCCAGGAGTTCCAGCTCCCGATCGAGTCCCCCAGCCTCGGGCAGCGCGTCTTGACAAGCAAAAATCTCCTTGAAAAATAACGGCGAATAGAATTTAATCTGGTTCTGCTTATTAAAGTTTTTTTTTGTGGGTTTTGCTTTTCTTTTTTTTTTTTTTTTTTTGCTTTGTTTGGGTTTTGCGATTTTTTTTTCCCCTTAAATGCTTTTCAGCGCCAGCGAAAGTGAATTAAAGTGGAAATAGCGCGACAAGACAGGGAGAAAAATGCAAACAGTGACCAGACAGAGCGGGGGCTGCAGATTTTGTCACCTGAGGTCTCGCCGTTGTTGCAGGCACCTCTCAAAGGCCACCAGGGGAGGGGACATTGGGGACAGGATGGGATGGAGCCTCGGGAGGCTCCCAAAAAAACCCCAAAAACCTCCCTCCGTGAGGTTTTGCTGCTCCTCTTTCAGGTGCCCCTCCACCCGCAGAGCGCTCCGGCGGCCATCGAGGTGACATCAGAGATGCCACCACCGCCTGTCACCGCCACTGAACGTCGGGGTTTCCCCCACAGACCCCCCAGCACAACCACGCAGCTCCAAATTTCCCCTCCAGCTCCCCCTCCCCAAACCCATCAGCGCTAATCCCAGCCCCGACCTCCCCCTCCGCCCTTGGGGACAGCGCAGGTGACACCAGAGCCCCAACCCCGCTGGCCCTGGGTGCCTTTTCCCCCTGGCTCCAGCCTCCTCCTCCTCTTCCTCTCCCGCTGCGAGGAAGCGAATCCGCAGCGCCAGCTCGGAGCAGTGCAGCAGGACGTGCTCTGCCGAGGAGCAGCCATGCTGGGGCTCCCAAAATTCCCAAAATTTCCCTCGTGCAGCAGCCGCGGCCAAGGTCAGCCCCTCTCCCCCCGCCGCAGGTGCCCTGGGGGGGCCGCGTTTGGCTCTGGGCACCCCGAGGGGTTCTGATCTATCGCTGCCCCATACGGGAGCGCCCCAAAAGCCCCCGCAGCAAGGATCAAAGTGTCCCCACCTTGAGGTGCCACCGCGGAGGGTTTTTTTGTTTTTTGGGGCAGGGCAGGGCAGGGGGAAGCTGGCAGGAGTCGGGCAGATCGGATGGCACGGTGGCCATGGCGACGGCACGGCGGAGGTGGACCGAGCACAATGGGCACGGGCAAGGTGAAAGGAGGCAGCGTTCCGCTCCCCGGCAGCTCTGGGGTGACCCCCCCGAGTCATCCCTGCACCCCGTGATCCATCCCGCACCCCCCGATCCATCCCGCATTCCCCCCGATCCATCCCTGCACCCCCCGATCCATCCCGCACCTCTGATCCATCCCACACCCCCTGATCCATCCCCGCACCCCCCGATCCATCCCGCACCCCGTGATCCATCCCTGCACCCCCAAAAAGCAGCGAGGATGGAGAAATCCATCAGAAATTCAGGGTCCACCGCAGGGTCCCCAGGGGGACTGGGCTGAGCACCCCCGTTGGAGGAAGAGCTGGGGGTGAGGAAGACTCCGAAATGGAGCCTGCCCTGCCCTTCCTCGGTCCCCTCGGAGCTGCTGCAGGGATTGGGGGTCCCCTCCCCGAAAAGCCACAGCAGGGAGCGGGTGGCCACCAGCCCCGAGGTCACCGGGAGGAGGAAATTTGGGTTAGGGAGAGCGGGTAACTTCAGGGGAGGGAGGGAGGGAGGGAGGGATGGAATCCATGGATGGCTGGATGGATGGAGGAATGGATGGATGGATGGATGATGGATGGATGGATGGATGGATGGATGGATGGATGGATGGATGGATGGATGATGGATGGATGATGGAAGGATGGATGGATGGATGGATGGATGGATGGATGGATGGATGGACAGACAGACAGATGGATGGATGGATGATGGATGGATGGATGGATGGATGGATGGATGGATGGATGGATGGATGGACGGACGGAGGGATGGATGGAGGGAGGCATGGACACACTCATCCTGCCCGTGTGTGCCAAAATGCTCACAGCCCTTTCAGGGGCAGCGCCGCGAGCCCGGCCGTGCCAAGGACAGCATCCCACCTCCAATTCCTGGTGGGCACCACCTGGGCATCTCCCTGCCCGACTCCCACCAACTCATTCTACCCCCCTCGGGGCTGTCATCGCTGTCCCCAGCCTGTTTTTTACCCTCTCCCTGAGGACTTCAAAACCCTCTTCCGTAAAATCCCCAAACAAGGAGAAGTGGGGGTGCCCCGCGGAGTTCCGCCTGACTCCGGAGCCCCCATTCCCAGGCAGCTGTGGGAATGGGGAACGGAGAATTCCCAGAACGAGCCGGGAATGGCTGGCGAGGCTGGGGGAGGGAAATGAGGGAATCGATAGGGCCGGCTCCGGCTGCAGTCCCAGGGACACGCACACAGCGCTCGTGTTACTCCCGGCAGCCGCGCTCCACCATTTCAGCGCTTCCCAGCGCCTCCCGTCACTCTCCACCTCTGGAGACCAAGATGACACCGCGGCGACAGCCCCGCGGGACCTCGCGTCGCCTCTGCCACCACGCTGCCACCACCCCCGCGTCGCCTCCGCCAGCGCTCGCTGTCCCCACGGTGCCCCATCCGCTACCCCCCAAACCTGCCCAGCCCAAACGGGCACCCCGACGGTGCCAAGGCCGTGTGCCGCCGCCCGGAGGGGTTTGGAGGTGAGGTCAAACCTTTCCTGCCACCGCGGGGCTCCTTTTGGAGGGGACAGAAGCGCCCGCAGGGCGCGGGGACGCTGCGTGCCAGGGCCACCATCTGTCCCTCTCCGCTGCCCGAGGCGGGCACAGGGAATCGGTGTCCCCTGCAGGGACACGGGTGACAACGCGGCCCTGGGACAGCGGGGGGATGAGCGGGGAGGGTGGCACGGGCACCGCCAGGGCTTTGCACGCTCCCCCCGGGGGGACAAGGTGAACCCCCCCGGCTGCTGCACCGAAGGGCAGCGCGGCGACGATGGCAGCCACCAAGTGCCACCCCCTCCCCGCCGCGACACCGGGGACGGATGAGGACCCCCGGCGAAGGGGGAGAGGGGGAGGCTGAAGGGAAATGGGGGGGCTAAAGGAAAGGGGACGCTGGAGGGGCTGCGTGTCCGGTAAGGACACCGAGAACCGGGAGGTCAGGGCGGGAATTTTGGGGAGGGGGATACCGGGGTGGGTAGGAGGGACAGCAGGACAGCTGGGGCAGGGGGGGATCGGCGGGGGAAATGCAGCAGCGGGTGGCGGACACCGGCTCCGTTACCACCGGGAGGGATGCGCCCCGCGCCATCCCGCGCCATCCCGCGCCATGCCGCGCGTTCCCGCCCGGTACCTGCGGCAGGTGAGCGCTGCGGCTCGGGATCTGCAGCGGCGCACGGCTCGGCTTGGCCCGGCTCGGCTTGGCCCGGCTCGGCTCGGTTCGGCCCCGCTCGGCCCCGCTCGGCTCGGACCCGCCCCGCCCCGCCCCGCCCCGCCCCGCCCGCGGCGCCGTCACCATGGCAACCGCGGCTCGGCCACGCCCACCCCGCGCCGCCGGCAGAGGGCGCTGAGAGGGCGGGGGGCGGGGCCTGCGGGGGCGGGGCCTGCGGGGGGCGGGGCCTACGGGGGCGGGAATAACGGGGAAATAGCGGGATAAGGACCGGGAAATAGAGGGATAGGGACCGGGAAATAGAGGGATAGGGACAGGGAAATAGCGGGATAGGGACCGGGAAATAGCGGGATAAGGACCGGGAAATGCCGGGATAGGGACCGGGAAATAGCGGGATAAGGACCGGGAAATAGCGGGATAGGGACCGGGAAATAGCGGGATAAGGACCGGGAAATAGCAGGATAGGGACGGGGAAATAGTGGGATAAGGATCGGGAAATAGCGGGATAGGGACCAGGAAATAGAGGGATAGGGACTGGGAAACAGTGGGATAAGGACCGGGAAATAGCAGGATAGGGACCGGGAAATAGCGGGGTTTGGGGTCACCAGCACACCCCAAAACAAGAGAGGGACCCCCCAAAGGTCTCCAGATGCCACCTGCTCCAAGGACAAGCAGGGGACACGCAGCCAAAGGACATCTGATGGACACGTCACCAACCCCGAGGGGTTTGGGATCACCAGCACACCCCAAAACAAATAGGAACCCCCCAAAAAGTTCATCCCCAGAGCTCTGCTGGTCTCAAGTGTCACCAGATGTCACCTCTCCTGAGGACCAGCAGGGGACACACAGCCAAAGGACATTGTGGTGGACACACCAACAACCCCAAGGGTTTGGGGTTCCCAGCGCACCCCAAAACAAATAGGAACCCCCCAAAGGTCACCAGATGTCACCTGCCCCGACGACTGACAGAGAAACACGCAGCCAAAGGACATTGTGATGGACATGTCACCAACCCCAAGGGTTTGGGGTCACCAGCACACCCCAAACAAGACACGAACCCCCAAAACAAGGTAGGAACCCCCCAAATGTCATCTGATGTCACCTGCCCCAAGGACCAGCAGGTCCCTGGGGACACAGCCAAAGGACCTTCTGCTGGACATGGCACCGACCTCCCTGGTTGGGGTTTGCTGCCCACCCCACACCTGCCAGGACCTGGACTGGGGGTCCCCCCCGGGGCTGGGGTCACCTCTCTGTGGGGCAAAACCAGGGGCCAGTTGTCCCTCAAGGCTGTCCCACCCCTGCCACCTCTGCAGGGACAAATGTCCCGCTCCTGTCCTGGCCAGCGGGACTGAATCCATCCGTGGGGCAGGAAAACCCACCTGGGGGCTTGGCAGGGCTGGGGGCTCCTCTGTGGGGCTGGAGGGGGCTCCCCCACCACCTGGGCATGGCTCCTGACACCTGGAGGATTGGGGTCCTCCTCACACCTGGAGATTTCTGCTCCTGACACCTGCAGGATTCTCTTCCTCACATCTGGGGGATTCTGCTCCTCACATCTGGGGGATTCTACTCCTCACATCTGGGGCATTCTGCTCCTCACATCTGGGGGATTCTGCTCCTCAGATCTGAAGGATTCTCTTCCTCACATCTGGGGCATTCTTCTCCTCACACCTGCAGGATTCTTCTCACGTCTGGGGGATTCTACTCCTCACATCTGGGGGATTCTGCACTTCACATCTGGGGGATTCTGCTCCTCACACTGGGGGGACTCTTCTCACACCTGGAGATTCTCCTCACACCTGGAGGATTGTCTTCTTCACATCTGGAGGTTTCTGCTCCTCATACCTGGGGGATCCTGCTCCTCACACCTGGGGAAATCCCTTCCTCACACCTGGAGGATTCTCCTCCTCCTCACATCTGGGGGATCTGCTCCTCACACCTGGGGGATCCTGCTGCTCACATCTGGGAGATCCTGCTCCTCACATCTGGGGGATTCCCTTCCTCACACCTGGAGATTCTCCTCACACCTGGAGGATTCTGTTCCTCACACCTGGAGGATTCTACTCCTCACATCTGGGGGATCTGCTCCTCACACCTGGGGGATCCTGCTGCTCACATCTGGGAGATCCTGCTCCTCACATCTGGGGGATTCCCTTCCTCACACCTGGAGATTCTCCTCACACCTGGAGGATTCTGTTCCTCACACCTGGAGGATTCTACTCCTCACATCTGGGGGATCTGCTCCTCACCCCTGGGGGATCCTGCCCCTCACATCTGGGGGATCCTTCTCCTCACACCTGGGGGATCCTGCCCCTCACCCCTGCAATATTCCCTCCCTCACCCCCGGAGGACGCTCCCCCACCACTGCCGCACCCACCCCCCCTTTTCACGCACACCCACCACCCCCTCACTCCTCTCCCCCTCCAGCCAACCCCACCCACGCAGAACCGCTCCCCACGCCCCGCAACGCCGGGAATTCCCTCACCTGGTCCCGCAGGCGCTCCTGCTGCCCGCGCAGCGCCAGGGCGTGCTGCGGGTACTTGCTCTTCAGGTGGTCCATGAAGGCGTCCCTCTTGCGCTCCATCTCCGTCTTCTGGAGGCCGGTGAGCGCCTCCAGGCTCTGGGCGGCGATCACGGTGTGCCGGCGCTCCGAGGTGTGCACCAGCCCCACGTTGGAGAAGCGCCGGGTGCCGTTGCCCAGGGTGCGGTACTCCCGCGGGTACTCGGCATCGTCCGCGGAGATCATGTGCGAGCTCGTCCTGTCGGGATCTGCGCGGGCAGCGGGAGAGCACAGCGGGGTCAGGGGAGGGTCCCCCGGCCGTGGGGCAGAGGGGGGAACCATCCCCAGCCATGGGGCAGAGGTGGGTCGGGATCTGTGCGGGCAGCGGGAGAGCACAGCGGGGTCAGGGGAGGGTCCCCCGGCCGTGGGGCAGAGGGGGAACCATCCCCAGGCGTGGGGCAGAGGAGGGGAATAGTTCCCTGCCGTGGGGCAGAGGTGGGGACTCGTCCTGTCGGGATCTGCGTGGGCACCACGAGAGAACAGCGGGGTCAGGGGAGGGTCCCCCAGCCGTGGGGCAGAGGAGGGGAATGGTCCCCTGCCGTGGGGAAAGGGGGGGACAGTCCCCAGCCATGGGGCAGAGGTGGGTCAGGATCTGTGCGGGTACCGGGAGAGAACAGCGGGGTCAAGGGAGGGACTCCAGCCATGGGGCAGAGGTGGGGGACGGTCCCCAGATGTGGGGCAGAGGTGGGGGACGGTCCCTGGCCATGGGGCAGAAGTGGGGGACGGTCCTTGGCCATGGGGCAGAGGTGGGGGACGGTCCCCAGATGTGGGGCAGAGGTTTAGGGTTGGGATTTGGGGCTGGGGAGGGGAATTTCAGCAAGGAGCGGTGGCAGAGCCTTGCTGGGAGTGGGATCCCCCCCTCAGTGGGGTGCCCAAAGTGGGATCCCCCCTCAGTGGGGCGCGGGGGAAGGGGGTGGGTGCCCGGCCCGTCCCCCCGCGGTGGCAGCGCTGTCCCCGCTCCGGGACACGCGGCAGGACACGAGGGGACAGCGGGGATGGGATCCCCCCAAAGCCGCGATGGTCGGAGCGAAACGGGAATGAAAGAGCGGCTGGGTGACAAAACAGCACGGACGGGACACGGGGACACGGACACGCGGGGGACACGGACACGGGACAGGGACACGGACACGGACACGGGACAGGGACAGGGACACGGGACACGGACACGGACACGCGGGGGACACGGGGACACGGGACAGAGCGAAAAGAAAAATGAAATCAGGCAGGGTCGGGGGAGGGTGGTGTGTGCGGGCACTGTGATGGGGGGGTGGGGGACAGGACCCCCATGTCCCCCCAGAGATCCCAGTGGGGTCAGTGCCCCAAAGACCCCAGTACCCATCCCGCAGCCATTGCTCACAGGGGCCAGCCCGGCCCGCGGGCACCAAACCGGGATCGCCGGGATGCTCTGTGCCACCCCAAACCTCTCCCTGAGCTCATCCCATCCCGCGGGCACCAAACCGGGATCGCCGGGATGCTCGGCCCCATCCCAGCCCCTTTCTGGTGCCCTCGGGCAGCAAATCCAAGATCTCCAGGATGTTATACCCTATTCCAGCCCTTCCCGGGGCACAGCTCAGCCTGGTGGCACCAAATCTGCTCCATCCCAGTCCTTCCCGGTGCCCTCGGGCACCAAATCTGGGATCTCCGGGATGCTCTGCCCTCTTCCAACCCTTCCCGGGGCTCAGCCAAGCCCGAGGACACCAAATCTGGGATCTCCGGGATGTTCTCCCTTATCCCAGCCCTTCCCGGTGCCCGGGGGCACCAAATCTGTCCCATTCCAGCCCCTTCCCGGTGCCCACGGGCACCAAACCCAGGATCTCCAGGATGCTCTGCCCTATTCCAGCCACGTTCCGGTGCCCGGTTCCACCAAATCCTGGATCTCCGGGATGCTCTGCCCCATGCCAGCCCTTCCCGGGGCTCAGCCCAGCCCGGGCAGGCAGGGGAGGGCACAGGAGGACTGGCAGAAGATCCCGAGTTGGCAGGGACCCGTCCTTTTGCTCAGCACCCGCCGGGATCTGCCTGCCAGGGCCGGAATCTGTGCACGCTGCCCACACCTGGCACCGCCTCAGTGCCCAGGGGGGCTCCAGCACCCCGAAAAAGCCACTTTGGAGGGTCTCATGTCATCTGGGAGCTGTTGTCCCCAGGCCTCGGAGCGGTGCCAGCCAGGGAGGTCAGGGTGGCACCAGGGAGGTCAAGATGGCACCAGGGAGATCAAGGTGGCACCAAGGAGGTCTTGGTGGCACCAGGGAGGTCAAGATGACACCAGGGAGGTCTTGGTGGCACCAGGGAGGTCTTGGTGGCACCAGGGAGGTCAAGATGGCACCAGGAAGGTCATGCTGGCACTGGGAAGGTCGTGGTGGTACCAGGGAGGTCACGGTGGCACTGGGGGGTCATGGTGGCACCAGGGAGCTCTTGGTGGCATCAGGGAGGTCACAGCAGCACCAGAGAGGTCATGGTGGCACCAGGGAGGTCTCAGTGGCACTGAGGAGGTCTCGGTGGCACCAGGGAGGTCATGCCTGCACTGGAAAGGTCATGGTGGCACTGAGGAGGTCACAGCACCACCAGGGAGATCTTGGCAGCACCAGGGAGGTCACGGTGGCACCAGGGTGGTCATGGTGACACCGGGGTGGTCACGGCGGCACCAGGGAGGTCATGGTGGCACCAAGAAGGTCGTGGTGACACCGAGGAGATCACAGTGGCACCGCGGTGGTCACGGTGGCACCAGGGAGGTCACGGCAGCACCTCCACCACACCAAACACCCCAAACTCCCCCGGGGGATGCGGCCACCCCCAGAGATGCCACCTCCAGAGATGCCACCCGCAGCGGGCAGCGATGGTCCCGCAAGGAAACAGCCAACAACACGGGGAGGGGAAGAAAATGGACCTGGAAACCCTCCGAGGCCGAAGGAAAGGCTGTCAGTTCTTCCCTCCCGCGGATAATTCCACCTCAAACCCCACCCAAAGTTTTTTTTTTCCTCCTCCCGCAGCAGCTGAGGAACGCAGCGGTGCCCACCCGGCCGCAGCACATCCCTGGAAAGCGCTTCCCGAGGCCGCTTCCAAGTAGGTCACTGGGGTGGCAGAGCCGAAATCTGCCGAAGCCAACCCAACCGGACCGTGCCCCCGAGCTGGGCACCGTCCCCCGGCTTACCCGCGGGCACAGCGCGGCTCCCACGGCGCTCGGCGGGCACGGAGGGGGCAGCGCTCCGCTCGGCCGGGGCTGCGGGCGGCTCCTTGGGCGGGCGCAGCGCTGCCACCACGGCCAGGATGCCGCGGTAAATCCTGGCCAGCCCCTCTCCGAGCAGGGGGAGGTTGAGGGAACGAGGTTCTCTTTGCCGATTCATCCACCCATCGTCCCCGCTTGGCAGCAGAGGTTGGCACCCGTGCCGGGGCCGGAGCCCCGGGCTGCTTAGCAGGGCACGAACATCGCGTCCTTCCCGGGAAAATACCGGAGGCACCGCTTTGGGTGGAAAATCTTCACGAACGGCAGCAGAGGTGGCACCGGTGCCAGGGCCGGAGCCACGGGCTGCTTAGCAGGGCACGAACATCGCGTCCTTCCCGGGAAAATACCGGAGGCACCGCTTTGGGTGGAAAATCTTCAGGAACGGTGTCGGCGGGAGATGCTGAGGAAAAGCCCCCCCACAAAAACCGGCTGGGATCCCCCCTTTAGCAGCGGCTCGCCGGGGTTTTATCCCCCTCGGGGGATGTCTCAACCACAGTTTTATTGCTGCAGTCCCATCAATCTTCAGCAGGCAGCGAAAACCCCGCGCGGGTCGCGGGCGAGCGATCAGCGGAGCGTGGAAAATCGCCCGTGAAAGCGCTCGCACGAAAAGGGGCGAGGGGAAGGGAGGAGGGGGATGCATTTAGGGAAAAAAGCAGCCGGGAGGGTGGAAACCCCTCGGGGGGATGCGGGTCCCCCGCGCCCGGCCATTAGCGCGGCCGGAAGAGCGGGATGCTCCCGCTTCCTCCCGGAGGCTGCACTGCCGCACTGCCCCGGCGCCCAGCGAGCCCGCCCGGCTCCCGGAGCCCTGCCCGGTGCTAACCCCTTCCCTGCCGGGCTGCCGGGAGTGGGAGGAGGTGTGGGGAGAGACGGGGGGAGCTGCTGAGCCGCGCGGGTTTAACTCGTGCGGTGCCGCAGAGATGAGCGCCCTGCCAGGGTCGGGCCTGAGGGAAATCGGGGGGTTCTGGGGTGGTTTGAGGTGGAAAAATCAGTCGGGTTCCATCCCCTGTAACGGGCAGGGAGATTTCACCACGCCAGGCGGCTCAGAGTCAGCGGCTGTCCTTGTCCCTGGCTCGGCCACCTTTGTGTCCTCTCATTTTGGGATGGTCAAGCGCCTTCCAGGACCAGCCCTCACACCCAAAAAGTGCTGGGAGCTGCCCAGATGCCCAAATTCTCCAAGCAAACCGTGCCCAGGAGCAGGGACAGGGCAAGTGACACCAGGGGACAGCGATGTCGCCCACTCCTGCCACCGCCATGTCCCAGATGGGACCAACCCTGGTTGGGTCCGGCCACTTAGAGGCAATTCCCGGAGAATTCCAGCCTTGGGAATGCCGGGAGCGGGGCAGACCAGGATGGGAATGTGGAAGTGAGGGGATTTCGGCGTGTCCTTGTCCCTGTCACGGCGACACAGGAGCGAAAGTTGGCGGAGACCGGGCTGAAAATCCCGCGCCCTCCCCTCGCTGCCGGGCCACCAAATCCCCTGGGAAAAGCCAAGTGACGCCAAGGCCACCCGCAGGGGACAGTGAACACCCAGCAGGGGACAAACCACCCCGGGATGTCCCCCGGGATGTGCCCCGGGGTGTCCCTCGGGATGCGGGAATTGTTCTCCCGCTTTATCCTTCCCTTCCCAAGGATCCCTGCCGGGGCTCAGCGGGGCTCCCTGCCGCGCCTTTCACTCCCAAATTCCAGCGGAACGGCGGAAAATAAAACCCTCCACAAACACACACGGCTCCGTTGGGAACTTCCCTGGTGGGACCCCACAGATCCCACTTGGCTTTGGGCAGGGGCACCGTGCCCGCTCACGGTGCCAGTCCGGATTCTCTGCGTGAAATCCTGGGATCCTGCCCATTCCCAGCCTTGGGCAACGCTTTCTCCATGCCCACATCCCACAGATTCCCATCCCGGAGCTGCGCCGGGACACGGAGCTCGGCCCAAAAGCTGCAGCTCGGAGGATGCCCAGCTGGCATCGTGCCACAGCGCTGCCCTGCCAGGCGGCTCCTTCCCTGTTGGAACTCAAAATATCCCTCAGACATTTTGGAGGTTCCAGGCCCAGCTCAGAAGCATTTCAGACCCTGGCAGGCAGCTGGAAACAGCTGTGATTTTGGGTTTGAGCCATGGAATGATTTACCAACCTTGCAGGAAGAACAAGAAGTCACAAAAGTTTAGATATTAGAGTAGAAGTAGTCACAAAGTAGAGGGAAGAATTTTTGAGTGCTGTACAGGGGGGTTTTGGTTTTGTACATGGGGGTCAGAGGTTTTAAGATGGAGGGATTTGGGCCTGCCCTGTCCTCCCTCTTTCTTCTTCCTCACCTCCATGTTCTTGGTGATGCTGACACTTTTTAGAGTAGAAAGGCACCATTTAATATAGGTAATAGGCATTGGGGAAAAACTGTAACCATGTAACACGTAATGTACCATATAAAAGATAGAAAAGCACCATTTAATATAGGTAATGGGCATTGGGGAAAAAAATATAAACATTTAACACCTAATGTACCATATAAAAGGTAGCACCAGCCCTAGGCAAAGAGGGAGAAAGAGAAGACAAGAGTCAAAAAATTTGTCAAAGGTGTGTGTGTGCCTCTGCCTGAGCTGTGAGCAAACCACAGCAGCCCCAGAAGAAAATCTTTTAGATAACTTGCAATAAACTGCCTTGAGACCAAACAACAGAAGAATTCTGAGCCTTTCTTTAAAGCACAGGTTGGAGGAGAGATTTTTCCACCCCCGACCTGGGGTGAGCTCCGGCACTTCCCTTGGGAAGCGCCGAAGGCAGCGGATAAATGCCGCGTGTCGCTTGTCAGAGCCCAGAGCAGGAGGGAGAAATCCCATCTGGAAAAAGCAGCCGCCACTTTTTCCCACCTCGCCGCCGGGTGTGATGGCGCCCACGCGCCCACATGGAGACGGGAGACGAGTTCAGCCTCCCAAAATCCCAAAATCCTGGGGATCCAGTGCCAAAGGAAGGGCCGGCACACCTGGAGCCATGCAGGAAGGAGCAAGCCAAGGGAAAAATGAGGGGCAGAGGGTGGGAATGGCAAATTCCAGCTGGGAAAATCGGGAAAATCTTCCCACTTCCCTCGGAAACTGAGGAAAAATGAGGAGAAGAGGGAAAGGAAAATTTCAGCTGAAAGAGTTGGGAAAATCTTCCCACTGCCCTCAGAAAGTCAAGGAAAAATAAGGAGCAGAGGGAATGAGCGAAGGAGAAAATCCAGCTGGAAAATCTTCCTGCTGCCCTTGGAAAGTCCAGGAAAAATGAGGAGCAGAGGGCAGGGCAAATTCCAGCTGGGAAAATTAGGAAAATCTTCCCGTTGCCCTTGGAAAGCCGAGATAAAATGAGGAGCAGAGGGGATGAGGGATGGAGAAATTCCAGCTGGAAAATCTTCCCGCTGCCCTCGAAAAGCCGAGGAAAAATGAGGAGAAGAGGGAAGGGAAAATTCCAGCTGGGAAAATTTGGAAAATCTTCCTGTTGCCCTCAGAAAGTCGAGGAAAAATGAGGAGCAGACGGAATGAGGGAAGGAGAAAATCCAGCTGGAAAATCTTCCCGCTGCCCTCGGCTCGGTGTCCATGACCAGAGGCTGAGCTGGGGCATTCCTGGCACACGGAAAACATTCCCTGCCCGGGGCAGAGCCGGGAGGAGGAGGAGGAAGAGGAGGAGGAGGAGGAAGACGGAGCCCTGCGTGCCCTGGCATGGGTGACATCCTCGGCTGGCAGGGCTGGGGACGTGCCAGCAGCTTGGGGACACGGGATAAAAATAAAGGCGAGGCGAGGCTGGCCACAGAAGGAGCTTTGTGGTCTCGTCCCCACCCCACGGCACAGCCAGAGCCTGGCAGCAGACGTGGGAATGGCCCAGGCATCGCCCTTGGCACAGGGAAACTGAGGCACGGAAGGGAGAGACGGATGGAATTCGTGGATGGATGGATGGATGGAGGAATGGAATTCATGGGTGGAATCCATGGATGGATGGATGGATGGATGGAAAGATGGAATTCATGGATGGAATCCATGGATGCACGGATGCATGGATGCATGGATGGATGGATGGATGGATGGATGGATGGATGGATAGAATCCATCGATGGAGGGATGAAATCCATGGATGGATGGATGGATGGATAGAATCCTTTAATGGAGGGATGAAATCCATGGATGGATGGATGGATGGAATTCATGGATGGATGGAAAGAAGGAATTCGTGGATGGAATCCATGGATGGATGGATGGATGGATGGATGAAATCCATGGATGGATGGATGAAATCCATGGATGGATGGATGAAATCCATGGATGGATGGAATTCATGGATGGATGGATGGATGGATGAAGTCCGTGGATGGATGGACGGATGGACAGGCAGACGGGAAAAATCAGAAGGCTCTGCCTCCAGCCTTTCCAAGCTCCCAGGGTTTGCTGGGATGAGCCAGGACCCCATCCCAGGGTTTGGGATTTGGTTCTGATCCCATCTCTGGAGAGGCCACGGAGCTGGGCAGGGCTGAGGATGAGGAGGAGGAAGAGGAAGAAGGGGAAGAGGAAGAGGAGGAGGGGACACACATCAAGGCCGAATATCAATCCCCTTAATAAGACACCGAGAAAATTCCTAAACCCGTCAAAGCCTCCACAACCACAGAGCCCTGGAATGGTTTGAGTGGGAAGGACCTTAAATCCCACCCGGTGCCACCCCTGCCACTGTCCCCGAGTGTCCCCCAAACCCCTTCCAGCCTGGCCTGGGACACTTCCAGGGATCCAGGGCTTCTCTGGGAATTCCATCCCAGCCCCTCAGGGAGGAAGTCCTTCCCAAAATCCCATCCAAACACCGTCACTCGCATGGCAGGAGGAACGGGAAGGAGCAGCAGACGGGACTGTGACCTTCCTGTGGCCACCAGCAGCTGCCAGGGCAAAGCCCAGAGCTGGGCACGGGGCCCTGGGCACCCCAAATTCCTCCCTACAAGGGGCGAATCCTCACAGGGAAGCCACGAGAGGAGGATCCAAGCCAAGCCCACGGCGTTTCCAAGCCCTCACAAAGGGTTCAATTCCACCCGGGAGCACTCAGGGAAGGGATTTTTCCTGGCTCAGAAGGTTTGGGACCACGAGAATCCCACAGCCACGCTCAGCCCAGCCCCATCCTTGGCACAGGAGACCCAACTCACCCAAATCTCGGCTCTGCCACCCCCACGATGGGCACAGAGCCCATCCCGGAGCTCAGTGGCTCCATCCGCAGCACCGAGCAGGATTTGGGTGGCACTGCCCCTTTGGGTGACTCCTGCTGGCCCCTGGGCACTGCCAGGCCTGGGAAAAGCTGGGTGGGTGTCCCGGGGGGGTTGGGAATGCTCCTGATGAGACACAACTCGCCCAAATCTCGGCTCTGCCACCCCCAAGATGGGCTCGGAGCCCATCCACAGCACCGAGCTGTGATCCCAGCAGGATTTGGGTGTCACTGCCCCTTTGGGTGACTCCTGCTGGCCCCTGGGCACTGCCAGAAACTGGGAAAAGCTGGGTGGGTGTCCCGGGGGGCCGGGAATGGTCCTGGAGAGCAGCTCCTGTTTTTTTAGCACACAGGTAGCACGTTGGTGGTTGGTCACCGCCTGCCGTGCCAGCCCGGTTAGTCACAGCTCGTTAAAAATCAGAAAAGCTTGGGAGGAAAAAAAAAAAAAACACCAACTCAGAGGCCTCCGAGATGCAGGGAAAACGTGCTCAGGGATGGCAAACGCGGGGTGAAATCCCGCAGGGATTCGCTGTCAGCCTGAGCAGCCACGGGACGGGGACGCTGCGGGGACATGTGACACATCCCGGTGGCCGCGGGGCGTGGGGACACCGAGCCGGGCTGGCAGCGTGTCCCCACCTCGAGACGCTGCGGGTGACGCGAGGACAAGGCCAGCG